TCAGTCAGCACCTCCTTACCAGGGCCCACATAGTACACATTTCAAAGGGGACCCTAAATTTCAAAGCCGCTGAAAAGTCATGGATCCTACTGCCTCCCCTCCCCACCAGAAAAAAAAAATAATACTCTGGGAATGTTTCCACTTTAGGTTTTTTCCGGCTATGCTTTAATGTCATTGAAACATATCAAAACAAAAGCGGAAGAATTTCCTTGAAAGCCTTCCACAATAGCACCTTATTTAAAAAAAATAATTATACTTACATATATTTATATATGTGGGTCTAGTTTTTAAAATATTAATCTGGCCATTTCATTCATTCACCAGCATTTGAAGAGTGCTTATTCTAAGAGCTGCAGATGGAGCAGTAAACGAAACAGCCCACACCTCTGTTCCTGTGGGGCTTCTAGGCTCGGGAAGCAGAGACAGACAAACAAATAAATACATAACAGTGCCGGGGCTGTTAAGTGCTGATGAAGGGGAAAAAAGCAGAGTAAAAGGGACAGACAGTACCAGAAGGTGCTATTTTATCTCTGGTGGTTGGAGAAGGTCTCTCCGAGGTGACATCTGAGCAGAAACATGAAGAAAAATCGGGCTAAACAGCTATTCAGGAGAGGTGGGACGGGGAGTGTTCCAGGCAGGAGGAACAGTAAGTGCAAAGACCCGGGGGGTAGCTTTCTTGGAAGGTTAGCATAAAGTAGGCAGACCAGGATGACCAGAGTGGATGAGTGCATGAAGAATGGCAGCAAATGAGTTCAGGTCAGAGCAGCCGCCAGGGCCCAGATCGGATGAGGGCCTTGGAGGCCATGGTGAGGATCCAGGATATATTCAGAATGAAATGGTAGCAGAAGAGTGACAGGATCTGACTTCTGTTTCAAAAAGCTCCTTCTGGCTGCCAGGTGAAGAACAGACCAAGGCAGAGGGTTGGTGATGCAGAGCGGCAAGAGCAGAAGCAGGAAGCCCTCAGAGGCTTCTGTGCTGAGCTGAGGGAGAGGAGGCAGCAGCTGAAACAAGCAGTGAGGGCAGAGGTGGACACAGGCAGTCAGATCCTGGGTACACTTTTGCTGGCAGAGGTGAGAAGCTTGCTAACACGTTGGATGTGTGGCGTGAGTAAAAGCCAAGTGTGCAGGGGGCCAGCCGGTGGTGCATTGGTTAAGTTTGCACATTCCGCTTCGGCGGCCCAGGGTTTGCCAGTTTGGATCCCAGGCACGGACCTAGCACCACTTGTCAAGCCATGCTGTGGCAGGCGTCCCACATATAAAGTGGAGGAAGATGGGCATGGATGTTAGCTCAGGGCCAATCTTCCTCAAAAAACAAAACAAACAAACAAAAAGACAAGTGTGCAGAATGACTCCCAAGGGTTTGACTTCTGACCCTTGGAAGTTGCAACTGCCACATAGCAAGTAGGAGGCCTGAAAAACTGGCAGAAGTAGGGGGAGAGGGAGAGCGGAGTGGGGAAAAGGCTTTGGGCATATTAGATCTGATATGTCACTAATCATTTAAATGCAGACATAAGGTGCCAATTGATAGAATATGCCTTGCTTCACTTAAAATAAATGACATTAGGAGTATATTCCCAGGTATCGTAAAATCTCTTCAAATTGACACAGGCATCTTGGGGGTGCACCATCCCTTGTGTTCATTATAAAACTTACTGGTACATCTTTCCTTTTGCTTCATACTTCAATATCTGTTTTCCAAACCAGGAAACATCACTAAAGACAGGGCAACCTGGCCTCATGACAGATGACTGAGAATGACATAAGTTTATAAATGCCTCTAAAGAGTCAGCTTTTCTTACAAGGCATGATTTGAGTTACTGAGACCCCCACTTCCCACCAAAAATCTCCTCCCGCCACCTTTTACACAGTCTGAAATTCCTCCATTTTAAAAAACGTAATTATTCCCTGTTAACTATGTGTTACTCTTACTGAAATTCTAATAGAAATGCAAGAATATATATATACCTTCTTTCAATGGAGACATTTTCTCATTCAGTTTGCCACAGTATAGGGTCCTCTCGCGAGAAATAATTAGAAAAAAGAAGGCGCTGTGGCTTGAGAAGAGAAAGAAGAGCTTAACCAACAGCAGAGGGTCTTTATAACGCAGGCTTGGAGGAGAGAACGGAATGGGAGACAAGCAAACCTGGACTTCCTCTGCTGGCACAGAGGGAGCTGAGAAATCTGCAGGAGGGGTCTCCGAATTCTCCTTCTCTGCAGAGATTCATTCAAGACCTTATCAGTGCCACAGATGATGACTTCCACATTTATCTCCAGTGCAGCCTTCTCCTCTGAACTCTAATTGCCTATCTGATGCCTTCATTTGAACGTGTCATTGACACAGCATTTCAGTGCTCTGTTCCATCAGAAACATTTTTTCTCCCAAAGCCCCCTTGGCCTAGTTAACTATCACTTAGCATTCACATCTCAGCTCATATCTTCCTTCCCTGACATCAAGGCCAGATGGAATTCCCCTGTTATACATCTTGTCGCCCCATGCCCTCCCCTCACAGCACTCACTCTGTTTGTAATTATATATTACTTGGATAAGCATCTGCTTCATGTCAGGGTCCCCCACCAGACTCTAAGACTCTTGGAGCAGATGCATGTCTCTTTTGCTCACTGCTACGTGCACTGCCAGATCCAAGCTCTTGGCTAGTGTACGAAGAGCAGTCAATAAACATTTGGTGAATAAACGAATGAACAAAGTAGAAAGGTCACTGGTGAAGCAAAGACTCTAAGGGACATTGCATTTGGGTGAGACATCAACTCCAACACACTGGACTGAGTAAAGTTAAATAAGGTTGATGGAAAGGTATTTTTGTAGTTGCTTGCGGTTTTATTTATCTCATCAAGCATCAACATTATTCTGTACCTCCAGAACCACAGAGGACACTGAAGGGAGACATCAGTAACCCAAAATCCAAAATAAGAAAACCTCAAGAAGTTACTGAACCCTGTGTTAGAGAACCAGACACAGAAGGGGGAGGTCCCTCATGTCTATCTTACCTAGGAGAGCACAAAACTAGTTGACACACGTTTCATTAGATTACAGAGAAAGGAGATCTTTAAAAACTTTCTACTAAGGTGGGATCTGAAAAAAAATTGAACTCATAGAAACAGAGTAGAAAAGTGGTTGCCAGGGGCTGGGGGTGGGCAAGATAGGGAAAGGCTGGTAGAAGAGTACAAACTTTCAGTTATAAGATGAATAAGGTCTGAGGATCTAATGTATAACACAGTGACTATAGTTGACAACACTATATTGTATAATTAAAATTTTCTAAAGGAGTAGAACTTAAATGTTCTCACCAAAAAAGAAAAAAAAAGGGATAGATGTGTGAGGTGATAGGGTAACCACAGGCCCTCTAGGACCAGTTCAACTGACCCCATCTCATCAACAGAGTAATTAAGAATGGTTTTTCTGGAACTGAGAAACAACCCCTTGTCCAGTTCAGGCTGGTGGAGACCACCAACCCATCAACCGAGCCTGTGCAAATGCCCAATAAGAGACCCTTTTGACATCAAGGCTGAAAATTCCACTCTCAGATCACACTAACACCACCATTTTGTGAACACGCGTCCTATGAAGAGCCATGAAGCTTGACTATGCTTGCACAGACCATCAATTACCTCACTTCTCACCTCCAAACATCTTTCTCCACACTTCAGACCGCCCTGCCCTTCATCCCATAAATTTCGCCCCAAATCCTGGATCAGGGAGACAGATTTGAGACTGCTGCTTCCTGTCTCCTTGCAGATCAATCTCGCAATGACGATTTTTCCTTTTCTCAAAAGCTGATACTGTAACAATTGGCTGTTTATGAGCATTGAGCAAGAGAACCCCAATTTTGTGCAGTAACAATGGATGTGTTCATTAACTAAACAGGAGGACTCCTTTCACAATGTATATGTATATGAAATCATCATGAGGTACGCTTTAAATATCTTACAATTTTATATGTCAATTACACCTCAATAAAGCTGTAATTAAAAAGAAACTTTCTATCAAGTTTAGGCCGGTCTGAATGTATAATTTAAGATGTATAGAATAGAACTGATTTTATTCTCATAAGTGTTTTATTTTCATGAGTGCAAACAACAATTATACAATTACAAGAGCTTTCATAGTTTCATCAGGTCCTCAGTGACATTACTTTTTCTCCCAAGGTGTTAGGTTTGTTCAACTTCAAAATTTCCTGCCTTAGGGATTTCAGCAATGTGACCTTTGTGGTTGAAAAGGAAATTCAGTATTGCTTTTGTTCTTATGCGCTTCAGTCCTCTGGCTTCCCCACTGTACTGAAATGTAGCTGCAGTGGGGAGCAGGGAGCTGCACCTTAGTCTTAACCGTTCATAACAGCTTTATCGCCAGGATTAGTTTAACATCCAAAACAATTTCAACTTAAAAGTTCTAAACCTAGCCCACCAGCTTGGATGAAGAAAAAAAAGAGAATGTAGAGGAAAATGATGGTTCTATAAAATACGGAGAAGATTATTAACAATCAACAATATTTTCATTTAAAAAAAAAATCTCATACTGCAAGGATCACACCCAATTTGTTTTTGGCAACATCTAACTCTGTCTACAAATGTATATCAATATTTAAACACACACAGGTTCAGGGCAACCTCTTAGCCACTCAAATATAACTGTGAGATCAATTTTCCTTAATGGAAATCAGATACGAACTCCACAGAACTCGAGTTTCCACTCGGGCTGTGCATATCCATCGCATACAACTCGTGTGAAGACAGATCACGCAGTAGATCCCAAGAGCCTTTTGTTGTTAAAGATCCATTTGTGGTGAAAAGAGTGAAGATGGGAAAACAAACATGCAAAGATGCAAATTAGTAGTTTAAAAAAAAGACAACTTTCTAAACATAATTTAAAATTTTCAAATACACCGGGCTAAACGTTTGTGCAAAGGTGAAGAACAGGTTAAAAGACACGCCTGTGATACATTCTTAAAAAATGACTTTTCTTGGAGAGTGGCTCATTGTGGATACCTCCTTCGTCAGATGGTCGTGTTACCTCACTGCAGCAGGAAAAGCTAGGGTAAATCTCGGATAGCTCGGACTTGTCATCTCCCAGACCCGTACCGAACGTACTGCTGGAATGAGATCGAGACCGGTGTCTCCTATAGAGACTCGCCTTTTCTATATTGGAGGGAAAACATATATCTGTGATTAAGTGACTTCAAGAACAGAAGAAACAAAAAATTATTTAAAAGTTTAACAAGGAAGAGAAATAACTCCTATTCAATAATATTCCAAAACCTCAGCTATTATAAGTTCACTTATTCCCAGATTTCCGCATCCACTGCATCCACTATATAAATGACTTAAAAATCATTTATTTTCGTTTTTTTAATGTAGATTTGAAAGGACAGATGAAGGATGGGAAATCGACAAGAACTAAGAAAACATTGGCAAACTAATAAATTTCTATCCAACATAACATCTAGTTATACATAATTGTTTTCAAGTATCGCCAAGCATACAGTCTGTCTTGCCTTTTCTTTATTTTTAGAAAGTTAATTGACACGTTTTAGCTGATTATGCGGGTCAAATTGACTATAAAAGTATTAGAATCCTGACTTTGCCTTGGGCATTCAATTTTATTAATGTCAACAATTAAATCTAAGGTAGAAAGCTGGGGGCAGAGTCAGACCTAAATGATACATCTATTTATACTGTTTGAAATAACTGCATAACTGTCAAAGCTTCAGTTTGCTAAACACAGTCTGAAAGGGTGAAATGTCAATCTATGCCATCACTATACCCAAACCATTCTCTTTTTTGCTTTTAGTTGTAAACATTCAGTCTAAGATAAAAGTCAAATAAACTTCCTATGTAAAATATAAATTTTGCCTTACATAAAAACTCAGAGAAATTTTAAGGATACTTGGAAGTCTATTTTTTTTAAGACATTTAGATGCTATACACAAAACCTCTCCACTGTTTTATATATAATTCTTCAAATCTACATTTAAAATGTTGGAACAATGTTTTTCATGAAACAAATCTTTATGTCTTAGCACTTTGGTGTAAGCCAAATAATTGCATTTTTAAGCCCAGAAAACTTATAAACTCATATTCACTAATAAAAAGCACATAAGCAAGTTCTAGACGCCTTTTTTAAATGAATTTAGAACAAATGAATCTAGGTCATGTTATAAACCCCTTTTGCAACTTTTGTTTTCATACATGATTTATGGTATTTTAAAGCAACATAGCACTTTTTTGGTTTTTTGAATCTTCAACTTTAAAATTGACATTACACAGTTGGCAAATGAACCTCTACAGGTCAGAGTAGCTTCCCTTTCAGGAGAAAACCATGTAAATGGAGAGAAACTCAAAATGTAAGCAATACCAGAGAGCATATGTAGACTTCTAGACTGAATATTGTCCTCCAGGGGATCAATGTCGAAGATGGAGCCTGGATCTGTGCGCCAAACTTTGAGGTCTTTTACCAAAAGGAAGACACCAACAGATCAAGAATGAATACAAAAAAAAAAGTCAGCACCAAAGAGTCCAGTGGAAGTCTGTAAAGCAATATATGTAAAAACAAACATGCAATAAGCAAACCTACCGAGCTGCAGACCCCCAAGGAGAATGAGGGGACAGCCACGTTCACAAGGATTTGTTAAGAAAATTTTATGATCACAATGAGGTTGCATGGTTTATTCTTCACGGAGCTGCCACATGGAGCCTGTGACTGTTCACCCAGCACATGTGCACACCAGACAACTCCCGCACCGCTGAGCCCCAATCCCTCGCGCTCTCCACACACGAAAACCAGGAAAATGTTTGATTACAACCTCTCATTAAAGACACGTGGGTAATCCAGAAGAAACGACTGAGAGGTTTTTGTCTGAGAAAACAAAACAAACAAAAACTTCTCTCCCTATAACAGAAACAAATGTTTGAAATGTAGGCAAGTGGCAAGCCCGGTTTTCATTCTGAGCCCATGAGCGCAAGCTAACCCATGTAAGATACATCTTTTAGAAAAGGGCAGTAAGGCAAGGCACCGAGCAAGGAGTGAGGAGGGACGGAAAGAGGAACCAGGAGCAGCTTCCGGCTCTCAATGGACCACAGGTGAGTCAGTAATCAGACCGCGCCAGCCAACTGGGTCTGCCATTTTAGCTGGAGGCAGAATCCAAATCTAATAACTTCTGGTTCATTACTCTCTCCAACTAATGCTTATCAGGTCCTAAAATGATCCATATAGTGCTGTACCAACAACAGGAAAATAAAAACCTAGTTGCAGACATGTGACAGAAATGGAGTATGAGTAAAAGCAATTAATTAGCAAACTGGAACTGGGGATCTACTGTCTTAATTAATTTAATTAATATTATGTAGTGCTTACCATATGCCAAGCACTATTCTCAGTTATAACTCATTTAAGTTTCATAATATATTAAATTAGGTACTATAGGGTCCCTATTTTATAGATGAGGAAACTGAGGCAGAGAGCGATTGAGTTCCTTTGGCCAAGGCTACACAACTACTAAGGAACAGAGCCTCCAACCAAAATAGAAGCAGGACAAATTGGCTTAGTCTGAATTACTCAGAAAATCTTTAAGCCTGTATTTTCATGCCTGGCACAGAAGTGTAATGTTTGCTGAATGTAGTTCGTTTTGTGCTTGCAAAGGCAAATCCTCAACAAACAACAGTTTCCCTCAATAAGAAGACATAAGCTGACTTCTGGGTTGCCCAGTAAGTGAATAATTTAGAGTTATATATCTTATATTTTTTTAAAAATAATAATTTCTACATCAAAGGTAATGAGTACTGATGTCTGAGAGCTCAAAATCTGGACTCTCTCACAGTTTCTAGCAAAGATTGCACCGTCATTCCTGGCCCCTGATTTGGGTAGGACCTGGGGTAAGCTGTGCAGACTCCAGCATTTTCGCCCTCACGGGATGAATCAGACCCTCCGCACTAGCCCTTATGAGATGTTAACACAAAGCAATGAAACTTTCTAATTCTGCATGACTTGCGATGAAAACATCACAACTCATCCATCCAACTTAATGTGATCCTTTTAAGCTATCAACTTGGGAAGATCAGCAAAGCTATCACTTGCCTACAAATATGTCTGGAATCCCTCTTCGGAAAACGCTTTCGGAGTTGCTTTAGTAAGCAAAGTAACTTAGTGCCCTGATTTTACTACCCTTGTTTATGCTAAGACATTACCCTGTCAAAGATACACTTTCCTCCCCAACTCACCTCTAAATGGCCTTTCCCTAGTTCCAAAAAACAAGCTCTTACCTTTGAAGATGAAGATCACCTAACAGTGAAGTTACTGAGAGGCACGGTACCAAAAATATTATTTGAGCTATATAATATAATTGGACTAGCTACAAAAATTCAGAGGCAAACTGCTCTGGAGAAGACGACAGTCTTTTGGAAGTGTGAGTTGTTGATATACACTGAAAAGTCAGTAAGTTTCCTTTCTAGCCCTGCCTTGGACTTCAGTGTGATCCTCAGTGTCTCAGCCCCCATTCAACACTATGTTCCTAAGATTTCCTCTGACTGACTAGAAGGAACAGCAGGAAGAGAAAGTTCCTCCTGCTCTGATTTATGGGACTTTCAGACAGCTCTTGATTATCCCAGTTCAGAGTAATATTCAAAAAAATACAGGCCATTCATTTTACAGAATACCATCAGAATATCTCTATTTGTACTAAAGGACCTAAATGGGATTGTTTCTGTTATTTCTGTCACCCATGCAGACGATGTCTGCAGTACAATATATTGATCAAGTATACAAACCAAAGGAAACAGAATAATTGTCCAACCATTGTTATCACCTGTGTCTGATCTTTGGGCTGCTTCTTGAAAAAGTAGGAACATTCTTAAGACCAGAAAAGTATTAAAGACAGAGAACGTGCAATAATAGAAAGGATGTGCAATGATACCTTGTGAATGCCATGAATCCCTTTCCACACGGTGCAAACAATAACACGGCCTGTGGTCCATTTTCAACTGGGCACCACATCAGATATTTGAGGAGGAGTCTGATGAATAAGGAGGCTAATTCTAAAGCTATGGCAAGGAGAATCTTTTTGACTGTGCAGACCTGCCGAGAAGGACCAGCAGCTTACCAACGATGATTCCAGGTCTCCTGTCCATCTCCACGATGTGAGGATGGACACCTTTATAGGCAGCATCGCTGACGATCTGGGTGTTCTTCCTCACTCGCTCGGTCACAGGGTCATCCACAACAGGAGTAAAGCCTCTTCCCTTTGTCTTTTCAAAATCTTCATGATATTTCACCTGAAAACAAAGGAAAAAACAATATTAACTCAAACTGAAATGTTCTGATTGTTACATAGCTCACAAAGTCTTGATACAATGACAGCTGTCACTGCACCAACTGGATCTAGATTATTTTCTACAAATACGTATCTTTTCCAATTATTCCAAAAACAATGTCCAAAACTTCAGCTTCCTAGCATCAGAAATGAAGTGCTGATATTTTCACAATGTTTTTCATCATTATGGCTCTTTTAAATTATATATAAACCTGTGTATCAGTCAGAAGCTTTAAAAGATAGATATATACACGTGTGTATATATATATATATATATATATATTTTCCTGAGGAAGACCAGCCCTGAGCTAACATCTGCCGTCAATCCTCCTCTTTCTGCTGAGGAAAATTGTCCCTGAGCTAACATCTGTGCCCATCTTCCTCTATTTTATATGTGGGATGCTGCCACAGGGTGGCTTGATAAGTGGTGTGTAGGTCCACGCCTGGGATTCAAATTTGCGACCCCCAGGCCGCTGAAGTGGAGTGCGTGAACTTAACTGCTGCACCACTGGGCGGGCCCAAAGATAGATATTTTTTAATCCTCGTTACTTCCTAAAAGGTACCAACTTAGCTACAAATTAATTTCCTATCTCTTAACCTTTAATATGCAATAAAATGATAAACTATTTCCACACAATTATTCAAGAAAACAGCATTATTTAAAATTAGATTGAGAGTTACAAACAATTATATATACAATTTTTTGTATATTATTACAAAAACTTAGGTATACTTTAAAACATACATTTTTCATGCTCTGAAACTGGATTAGGGTGATTATTGTGCAAGTCTGTAAACTATATCAGAAACTATTGAACAGTAAACTTTAAATGGGTGAACTTTATGGTAGATAAATTATATCTCATAAAATTGTTTTAAAAAATACATTTTTTTTACATTCTTTGCAACATGCAAACACACCAAGCTCCATCTTAAAATTAACTGAAAAGAAGTGCAGACAAATGTCTTTCACAAAATGCATTTATAGTAGTCACGTTAGAAATAAAAAGACGCCCAAAAAATCACTGAGAAAAATTACTTTATTTGAGTAAATGTTTCCTTTACATTTCAGTGTGATTAGAAAGTGCCCCCGTAAGGATGGGCCCATCGCATCTCCATGCTTTGTTACTTATCCAGATTAATGGTGAACTAATGCCGTGGGTACACTGGGCGGTGCCATTCCTTAGTATGTTTTACTCATGAGAAGGATCTGGTTGTATCCTACCATTGAAATATGATTTTGTGCTTCTTTGACATGTCTCAGAGCAGGTGTATCTAAAATCAGACTTGGTCTACCTTTCATCTGTTTATGGTCCTGGGTATATTTTACCTGCAAAAGTAAATAGAACATACTTATAACAAGACAATTATAATAAAAAACATTATGGAACTTTTTCGAGCTTTCCAAATGAGTGAAACATACACAACATATTCTGAATTATCTCCTGGGTAACTTGTTCAGTAATTACATTTCATTCTAGAATAACAATCTAAAATTTTACTCTCAAAGATCTCTTTTAAAAGCTATAGCAAAAATGACCTAAATCTATCAACTGAAAACAAATGTGTGAGTGATCAACATCCACTAACAATGTAGTTAGTAAAACTGGTTATCATACTTAAATTAAACAGGGAAAGTCCAAAACTCAGTGGAACTTAAATTTATTTTTCTATTTCTATATTTCCCCATTTTCCACCATAACACTGTTGAAGAATGCACACCAAGCTTCCTTCTATTTCCTTTTATTTTTCCCCTCCAAAGAAGATAAGAAACAATAAGGCTAGTTTCCTTTTTTTTTTTTTTTTTGGTGAGGAATATTGTCGCTAAGCTAACATCTGTGCCAATCTTCTTCTATTTTGTATGTAGGATGCCACCACAGCATGGCTTGATAAGCAGTACGTAGGTCCACATCTGGGATCTGAAGCTATGAACCCGAGACCACCAAGGCGGAACACATGAACTTATCCACCAGGCTGGCCCCAGCTAGTTTCCTTTTAAGCAGCCACAGTTTAAAGGTAATTTATGGGGGCTGGCCCCATGGCCTTGTGGTTAAGTTCGGCATGCTCTGCTTAGGCAGCCCGGGCCCAGTTCCTGGGCACAGACCTACACAACTTGTCAGCAGGCAGGCCATGGCAGCAACCTACATACAAAATAGAGCAAGACTGGCACAAGTGGTAGCTCAGGGTGAATCTTCCTCAGCAAAAAAAAAAGAAGTTAAGTTATATTGACTACAGTCAGCATCTGTAGACAGAAATGCCAATAGAAAGGTGTCCACTGTAAAACCTAAATGCTGATCCCCAGGCATAGAGCTCTTCTTGACAGCTGACCATCAGCACACTATTTGTGAGGCTGATTATCAGATTAGGATAGCAATTATTGCAGACCTGAGGGCATATGTGCAATTTACAACTGATGCCCTGAGATTCACTAAGAGAAAGCATACTATCCAAATCAAACTGATGTGCACCGTGGGATTTTAACAAGAAACCAATTTCTATATTAGATGTATTGAAGGATGTTTTTCCTCTAAGTCCTTACTTTGGAGTAATGACTCATTTCTTATTTTGTTTTGCAGAGAGCACTTAACAATCCACGTTCAATGGAATCCATCCGTAAAATGACAATTATTTAACTTACGCATCAAAGACTACCAGTTTCAAAGACACTGGTTAAAATAACACGAATCATTGTTTAAATGAAAATAACATAGTTTAAAACTAAACTTTAAATGTGACTGTCACATCTGGAAATATCAATGAAGGATTACAGGATAACGTAAATCTAGTGGCAGCTTTTGGACGTTATCTGAAATAACATGTGTATTTACTACATATATCACAAATGCTTCTTGAAAATAGATTTTGTTTAAAACAGGACTGCAAGTAAACAATAAGGGAAACATTCTCTGTGACAGCCCAAAATGAATAAAACCACTTGCCGAACTAATATTTTCTTGATTCTTCTTTACTCTTTCCATTTCAGGAGTTACACTCAAAACCGTAGCTCTTCCCAGCTGACCTTTATAACAAACCTATCATTTCAGAGAACAAAAAATAGAGTACTATGAATCAATTCAACTAAATAAGAGCCGCATAGTATTTATTTTAAGGAGCTAAGGAAAAGACTCTATGAAAACAGAGGATGCTATCAGAGGTCGAGTCATATGTAAAATGCTTGCCTCTTAAATCAATCCATCCTAAAACACCCCATAACAGGGATTATGTGTCCAAATCACTGTGAATGGACCCAAATATATGGGCCTACCCATATTGTTGTAAAGCTGTAATAAGCATTTCATCGCAAAAGAATATGATAAGAAATGTCTTCATGGATATTATTCAAAGGTATTCCTACCCATATAGAATGGTACTATGCTGTTGTAGTTTCATAGTAATTAACCGTGCAGAACTTTTGAAAGGATGCCTAAATAGGTGACCATGGTCATCCATAAAAAGGCCAGTGTGCTTCCCACTACTCCGTTCCTGCTTCTCAATAACCATGCTCCTTTTCCAGAGTAATGGAGTCACGCCGAGTGTGACTCTAAATATATCGCAGAAAAGAGGACCATCTACTTCTCCAAACTATAGTTGTTAGGAAGAGTGCCAAACAATAACCTGCCTTTCCTTTATAATCTGGTCAAATGACTTTAAAGTTTTGAAGAAGAAAAGACTTCTTTGAACCAAATAGATGTCCAAATTTCCTCTTCCCAAGAACCCAATCTATATGTTAATGACTTCGAGAAAGGAGTCTGTCTGTGAACTACATCCGTAGGTTACATAAACAGAAGGGAGTTAGAGCAGCCAGGAGACGGTGTCTGAACAAAAACTGACAGCCCCTTACCAAGTGCCCCTAAAATGGGCCTGTCTCATGTGACCTATTCAGCTATGCACACTTTATAATTTCCCCCCAGATGCCGTCCAAAAATAAAGTAATAATAGCTAGAAGGCTAGAGAACTAAAACACATACAGGTAGAAAAAGAAGTGGGAAGCTCATTTGTGGGGCCAAGAAGCCAGGAGCTATTGCTGCATCCCTCTGGGGAACTGCAGCAAAATAGCATGAAGCCAAGAGGGATACACAAGAACGTGTAGGCAAAATCCTACTGGTTGTCGCTGGAAACTCTGCAGCAGGGAATGCCTCGTTGTGCCCATAATACCTAAGACCCCGACACCTTTCGAATAAATTGGTAGTCAATTCAGAGCAGAATATCAACTCAAGGTCATGAAAACTTTGTCAACATAATTCCTCTTGGAGATATTGACAGCGCGTTTGCTATCCTAAGAAAAAAGTTACTAAGCAGATCACACATTGCTGATGTTCTTCTGGTTTTCTTTAACTCTCTTCAGCTCCGGTGGATCCGAAATTGCAGTTGCCTGTTTAATCTCTCCTTTGTATTTTACCTGTGGAGGATAAAGAATTTTAATAGAAAGCAAAATGGTCTCCACCCAAATACCACAGAGGACGAGCCTCAGGATTATCTCTCTCCACATTTTTCACCATCTTGGATATGCGTCCATCTTCTGGTTCACATCGACACGTGGATTCTGATTCATCTGACCTAGCAAGACAACTTGTTGGTTGTGCTTCTTACAAATGATCTTTTCTGTTCGATACAAAACTAACTGCAAATTCTACAATTAAAAGTAATGGAGGGGCTGGCCCCGTGGCCTAGTGGTTGGGTTTGCGTGCTCCGCTGCAGGCAGCCCAGTGTTTCGTTGGTTCGAATCCTGGGCTCGAACATGGCACTGCTCATCAAACCACGCTGAGGCAGCGTCCCACATGCCACAACTAGAAGGACCCACAATGAAGAATATACAACTATGTACCAGGGGGCTTTGGGGAGAAAAAGGAAAAAAATAAAATCTTTAAAAAAAAAAAAACATCATTTCAATCTTCACCATGGAAAAGAATAAAATAAGAAAACCTATATTTTTTTAAATAAATAAATAAAAGTAATGGAAATGTAAGGGAGAAACATCGGAAAGAAGTCATTATAAGAGAACTACAGTGGGTCACTATGGCAGCCCGGGAGGGCCACTGACTACCTTTCAGACCCTGAGCTTCTACTTTCAAAAGAAGCTAAAGATTCCTCACTCCTGCCGCCCTCCAGGAAAATGATAAGGACAAAGCAGGGGTCGGCCTGATTTCCTCCACCTGGGAGAATTCATTCTTAAGTTCCAAAATTACCAGTTTTCTCTTTCAAAATTACCTGTTTTGGAAGAAAAAGACTATTGTTTATATTGGTAAAAGTTCTATAAAAGGGTCAAAAAAATGGGAAAAATAACCATTGGGGGGAACCTCTGAAAGAGATTTCTGAATTCAGGAGGCCTTGGTTCAAATCCAAGCTCTGTCCTTACAAACCAGGGGGCCCTGGCATGTTGACCTCCCTAAGACTCCGTTCCCCAGCTCTACAAACCAGGGCAATGAATTGTGCCGACCTCATGGGTTCACATAAAGCATTGAGCACAGGGTCCATGTTAGAGGTGCCTCATGATTAACTCTGGCTGCTTTATAAGCTTTAGATTGTTGAATGATTGAATACTGTTTCCAAATTTATTTATAAGGTTCCCTACTCTATAGGTTAGGTTCCCTACATTATGTCTTAAAACCCCAATCAAGCCGGGTCTTCTTTTGCTCTATTCCAATAGATATTTTTTCTCTCAGATTGACAATAGACTCAGCACTCTCCAGGTCCTTGCCTGGATGTAGTTGTAGATATTTACCAACTAAACTATGAAGTCCATGAGGATAGGAACTGAGTCTTCTCCATCTTGGTGTACCAGTGACCAGGATAATGCCCGGCAGACTGGAGTACTTAATGAAGATTCCTTGAATAAACAAACATGGCTAAATTATAGCAACACAGTCCCAAATGTCCTGGGCTCACATGGGAGGGTCACAATTCATGCCCTTCACTATGTGAGAAGGAATATCCAAACGTGGAGGGTTTCAAGCTTTTCAGAGAGCATTCTGAAGAATAAAAACATACAATGTTTCGTAAAATAGAAGAGAAACAGAAACCACTTGCCGTACTCAGCTGCTCCTGGTTTCTCCGCACTCTCTCTATCTCTGGTGTTACGCTTACTGGGGTTGCCCTGTGGCACTGCTCTTTATACCGGAGCTGGGGACAAGATGCAAGACAGTGTGGAGTTAAGGGAAGGAAACGTGCACCAACACTACAGAACATGAGACGAAATGCCACATGGCTACAGAGCATTCATTAGTTAAAATCTTCACTAGCATCTGACAGTGAAATACGCATTGCTAACAGACTTCATCATATTGATCCCAGACTAAGTTTTTCTTGTGCAAATGTTTTGAATTCCACCTTTAGTTGTTACTCTTCAAATTGTCTCATTATTGGTGTCCTCTCTGAGTTCAATCTTACCAGCAATAATAAATGATCCTTACGGTGAACTCATTTCTTCAAAGCACTAAAGCAATATTTATCAGATTGCGATTTTATATTTAAAAAGAATAACTCTGCACTCATCATTAGAAAGGAGGGTCACACCAGTCGTGTGCTTACGCCTCTGTGACAAACGAGCACCAGAGAAAGAAACTCTGAACCTGAAAGTTTCCTTCTCAACAAAGTTCCAACACTGGCAGGACTGCTCTCCGACCTAGCGGTATAGAAGTCTCCCTGAGCTCCTGCAGAGGTGCCCCTTCTCAGCTGGGGGGGCCAGACTCATAGCTAAGGTCAGCTTTCCCAGCAATTCTACAACACCCGACCCAGAGAAACAATGAGCACCCGACACAGAGAAACAGAACGGCATGTCCCCCAAATGAATTTTGACAGGCAAAAGCAAAACTAGAGGTTAAAATCCCATTACAAGAAACTCTACAGGGACAGTCTTAATGATTTTTTAGAGCTTCAATTTAGCGTTAGGGAATTTTTTTGGCAAGAAATCACAAGGCCTACAGGGCCGGCAGATAAAATGGACTTGAGATGCCCACTCTCAGCAGTAACGTGTAAGTGTAGAGAAGTCTGGTAAGCCTGGAAAATAAACGACAGAGGGATAGGCCCCTTCTGGTGCAACCTCTTTCTGCAATGTGCGAGTTCTCTGTGCCATGGCATATATTTTGAGAGTCTGGGCAGATTCTTGTGTCTGGGGTAACTGTCTGAGTTAAAGTGAGGAAAGATCCAGTGTAATCTCTACTGATGGCAGGACACAAGGAAAGATTACTCTGGGTAAAGCTCAGAGGGGAAGAATCCGCTGAACAGCATTATTCATGTAGAGAAACTGATGTAGCCAATTTCTAGTGATGGAAGTTCGGGGACATGAATTTGATATGAGAGTCATCATGTCTTGCATCCATCCACTCACAAACATACTATCATACTATATAGTGCTTTACAGGCAACATCTCGCTTAATATTCTAGTCCCTGTTTTATAGATGAGGAAATTCAAACTTGGAGAAGTTGGTGGCTTATGACGGTCATACAGCCAGTAAGGTCTGGAACTAGGATCAACCCAATAGTCCAGGGTTCATGTTCTTCTCCATTACTCCAGTGTTGCCCAAATTTCCACCATTCCCACACCCCTTCCCATATGCCATGCCAGATATCACTTGTGCTGTGTTTTATAGTACTTTTTCATTAAATTAACTCACTATTATTTTCAAATAAAGTTATTTTTAAGGGAGTGCTATGTTTCTATGATAAATCGAAAACTAGTAATCCTCCTTTAAGGAAAGGTACACATTAAAACAATTTAATCACTAAGGCAAGGCCTGATCACTGGTGCACCTCTTAACAGCATCTTGAATACCATGCCAGTATATGAACCGTATCTTAGGGACACTGTGGGACGCCCAACTGCCTCCTCATGACCTGGATCACAATTTCTCTCTCCACCAGCATCTCCTGCCACGTTTCACCCCACGAACTCATCACACTAAATCTTCCCCTCCTTCAATAGGCCTTGGTTCCTGGACATACTCTGCTTGATCTGCCAGGAAGGCCCTTTCTTACAAAGTCTACCCCAGATCTAACTCAACTCTTCAAGATCTAACTCAAAAATTACTCTTTCTCTGAGGGTTTTCCTCTCTCTCACTGACATAGCCTTCCTTCCTGAATTTCCACAGCACTTTGCAAGAGGAATTATTACTTATTATTAAACGAGATACTTCATGTATTCAAAAAGCATAGTAAACACCCCCAAAATATTAATTATTGTTCTCACACTAAACAATGCACAATCATTATTTATTCTGTCTGTTTCTCCTGGAGACCTTGAGAATACTCACAGGCCCCAACTTTAGAGTGTATCTCACTCATCTTTGAATTTCCCCAAGAACAAAAGCAGAGTAGGCATTCAAGAACACAGTCTTTAATAAACAACTGCACACACTAGGTGTACTGCTTGCCCAACATAAAGATGTGTGAGATCTTATCTCCACCTTTCAGGAACTGGCCCTCCTGTAGTGGTATTCATTGCAATGGGATTTCACCTGTTCAAGCTCCATGCCCTCATTTATACTGCTATCCAATAAAATAGGAAACAATACTTAAAGAAATACGATCACACATTGCTGATGTTCTTCTGGTTTTCTTTAATTCTCTTTAGCTCTGGAGGATCAGAAATGGCTGTTGCATGTTTCATCTCTTCCTTGTATTTCACCTGCATAATTTATTTTAAAAAATGTGCACTTCATTCAACATGAGGCTTAAAAAATAGTTAAGAATTCTTACTTGTAACTATTGCATAACTGAATTTTTAAATTCCAACATTAATTTGTCCTTCAATGGGAACACAAATTTTTATTTTATCTGATGCTTTCATGATTCCTTTATCCTAAAGTGCAAATAAACCCATATCTACTCACCTATCCATCATTGTAGGAGCTTTTTAATTAAAGGAAGCAAATGTTGCTTATGAGGATAAATTTTATCATTAGGCAGATGCACAAAAAATCCTGGCAATTATCTTCAGTAATATAATACATCATTTATTATTTTCTCTCTGAAAAGCAGTTTCTGTTTATTAATATGTTAATTAAAATCTACCACGTATTTAAAGGCAAAAGTCAAATTGAGTTAGCTACAGAGTCTTGGAACACTGCTTATCTGACTGAGAGCACACAAATAATCCAAAATAAGGAAAAAAAATTAAGTGGCCACAATAAAAGAAGAAAAAGGGGGGCTTGGAGGGGAATGCACCCAAAACAGAGACCACTGTGTCCTTAACACCACAGAAGGGCCAGTGGCAGAAAGTCAGGAAGTATCTTCTTCCCACACAATCACTTTACATAAAGTCCGTCTATATCTTGACATCCACTTCATTCAAAATTCCTCTTTCAAATCTATTTCGAGGAAGCTCAACCCAACAAACAGTAATGCCAGAACTCAGCTAGGCAGGGGACAAGAAACAGCTCTTTAAACTTATGAAATGCTTAATGATGCCATCGTTTCAGGTGGCATTTTATTTTATTTTAATTTTTACTTTCTTTTATTTTTTTTTAAAGATTTTATTTTTTTCCTTTTTCTCTCCAAAGCCCCCCGGTACACAGTTGTATATTCTTCGTTGTGGGTCCTTCTAGTTGTGGCATGTGGGACGCTGCCTCAGCGTGGTTTGATGAGCAGTGCCATGTCTGCGCCCAGGATTCGAACCAATGAAACACTGGGCCCCCTGCAGTGGAGCGTGCAAACTTAACCACTCTGCCACAGGGAGAGTGGTTTACTTACTTTCTTTTTTTTTTAATTCTTTTTGGTGAGGAAGATTGGCCCTGAGCTAATATCTATTGCTAATCTTCCCCCTTTTATTTTTTCCCTCGCCAAAGCCCCAGTACATAGTTGTATATCCTAGTTGTAAGTCTTTCTAGTTCTTCTATGTGGGATGCCACCACAGCATGGCTTGATGAGCGGTGTGTAGGTCCACACCCAGGATCCCAAGCAAGGAACCCTGGGCCGTTGAAGTGGAGCATGGGAACCTAACCACTACGCCAACAGGCTAGCCCCTCAGGTGGTATTTTAACAGGTAAAAAAATCCTGGAAGATTGGATTCCAGAAAAAGGACATACATATATATTCATATGTATGGAAACACAGGCTAGACTTAAGAGGCACAAGTAGAAATTTAGCAAAGACTTAAATCTGCACAGAATGTTTTAGAAATCACTTGGTAATTTTTAAAATGATTAAGGCTGAAATCTATGCTGACAGTCACTGAGAAACAGTTCCTAAATATCTCAGAGACCATCTATGTCTTAGTATTTGTGGATTTCATATGAGTACACAAAGCCAATATCAGTCCAGATCCAAAACAGTTAAATTGAGAGTACAGTGAGAGAGGCTACCTCTAAATAAGATTCAAAAATAGTTCTGAGAGCAAGCTAATAGCTAAAAGGCTTGTACTCTGGAGGTGGAAAATGTCGAGATCTTTAAATGTTAGAGAATCATATCTTGGTTTGACAGACCTAGCTAATCTTGAAAGGGCAACTTCCCATTTGAATACTAAGCAGGAGTTTATGGCCCAACTTCCTAGAGATACAGAACTGTGCATTTATTGTTTGCTAGGAGAGGCAGTGGGATGCTGGAGAAGAAATGATGTACTATACTACTTCGTGTGATTTTCCTCGGATGAGAAACTAAATGCGATTAAAGAGGAACATTTTTGTTTTTCATATGACTCTAAACTCATCAAAATGGCACAGCCATTCACTGTATGCAATAGAATTGCACACTACAGAACATTTATAACATTGTACCCCAGCGCACTGATGGCTACGTTTCAAATATTATCATGTGAAAGTGAAGGAAACAAACATTTCCAGCAAACATTTGCAAACTAATCTCTCTATCAGATCCGAGTCTTGTCTGACACAAGCCCCTACCACGGTGGATCAGACCAGATTTATACAGCCGCAGCATAAGGTCCTTCTCCTGACAGAGTTCCTGACACACGAGGCTAACCAAGGCGGTTTAACTCAGATTACTTAAAGAAAGCTTCTGCCTCAAAGGTGAAGGAGAAGAGAAAGGCTGGGGAAGGGGATTTAAGGAAAGAACTCCTGATTCATCCACAAGAAACTAAATATACTAAATATACATGGCAGAATACCTATTGGTAAGGATAGCAATTATCCATTGTAAATGTCAAGCACTGAAAGGAGAAAGATTTACTCATAACATTAATCTCCTCCTCTATGCTCCCCCAAGCTCCTAGGGAAGTAGAGGGTAAGTTATTTCATTAATTATAGTGAAGGTGTACGTTTTTCTTTGCTGGAAGCTGGAAGGAGTAGAAGGGAAATGGGGCCTTTGAAATCTTCTCTTAAGCCACCAAATAAATGTTCTGGGGCCTTTAATCAGGGTAAAATTTCTTTCCTCCAAGTCATGGAGACATACCGAAACTTATCCTTTCTCTGAAAAATTTAATACAGTTAAAATTCTGTTCAAAAGGATGAAACCTAATCCTAGATTTCATTACTGTACTATTAAAGTGATCTATCTCTTACGCACTCTGATATGTCAAGATAAAACAGTGCTTCAGGTTCAAGGGGAACAAGCCTGCAGTCTTTCCTCTAAAAGTTAGACCTTTGATATTTGATGAAATAGCATTTCTACAAAGAAGAAAAGGAAAAAGCAGCCAGTTTAGTAAAGAACTAAAAACGTTCATCTAGCTTACATTTGCTTTTGGAAAGGATAATTAATGCTAGAGAGAACTTACTGAACTAATATTCTGCTGATTTTTCCTCACTCGTTCAATCTCTGGAGTATCTTTTACCGCTATGCCAGCTCCGACTTCTTTCTTATAAAATGCCTTTATTATAAGAGAAGGAAGAGAATAACTATAAGCTTATTAGAATTCAAGTCCTAGATCCAACTCTCATAAAAGAAAGACAATTTCCCAGGTTTTAAAGTAGTGTGAATACACCTTCTATTTATGAGTACCAACATTATATTAATCAATTAAATAATCCATGATGAGAATAGACGTACAACTTCAGTTTCATATACCATAATCTTACAAGGAACCCTCTAACACCTGTTCAAGGGCATGCATGATACCCTAGGTGGCTGCAGGTTATTTGCTCTAAGAATATTAGTTGGCAAAATGGAGTTTCCTTCTTCAAAGATAAATATATGTCAAATGTGTATTTGAGATTAATCAAAGCACATATTATAAAAGCCCACTAAGCACTTATCATTTCATTCCAAAACAGCATGAAATTTTAATCAAGCGCCATTCTCCAAACACAAAGATGCCCTCATTTCTTCAAAGAAAATATTAGCTCTATCGTCAACATCAACAGGAATTCAGTCTATTTTCTCTATCTTCCACTTATTCATTAACCTTTCCCCATGTCTCCCCATACCTATCAACATCCAGCCCTTTCAAACACAAAGCAAACAAGAAACAATGTACTCTACAGAAAAAGAGAATAATTATAAGAAAGGCATATGAGGACAGAACTATCGCCTCTCTTGGAATCCAGTGGGTCCTCGTGGGAGTTGGAAGAGTATGATATGAGAGATGTTTTCCTCCAAAGCCTAGAAATCTGGAATACTATGGAATCACAAGAGATGAGGGTCAAAATAGCCTTTTTCTCTGATCCTCCCTTCCGGCAAGACTTTTCCATTTCTTAGCACAGTGAGCCTATGGAGAGCTAGAGGTACCTGACCAGCACCCTGAGGGCTGGAGCCTGCCAACTTATTAGAAGGTAGAAAATATACCAGAAGTCCTCAGACTTAAGAGAATTGAGATTTTGATGAGACATTTACTTAACTAGTAAATGACAGCTCATGCTACATTAAAATATTGACTGTACGTTCAATTTTTATAATTTTGGAATCCAAGTTTACATATCCATCAAGCATAGACCCAATCTCTTAATTAACGCTACTGACACAATTCCTAGCCCTCAAAATAAAAATACCAAAGTTTAGGAACTGCTTACAAACTAGTAAATCCTAGATATATTATCAAAGCAAATAATCAATGACTATGAAGGAAATAACTTCATATGTCTGTTTTCATCTTCAAAGTAAAATCTGTACGGAAGATTAAGACCTTGTTCCTGAGAGAAATTTTAATATTCAGTTAAAAATAACTGTAGCTTGTACCAAAGAAAAAACTTGAATTTCTAAGTCTAAAACAATCATGATAAATTATAACTTGTAAGAACATTTAAGTACTCTTAAAGAAAAAAGGTAATACATTTGATAAGAAATTCAAGCAATGCAGAAAAAACCGAGACAATGAGGGAAAAAGGCCCTCTTCACAAAATAAAATTTCAAGGTGGCAACTGAAGAAAAATAATAACTACTCACTGTACTAATGTTCTGTTGAGTTGTCTTAATTCTCTGAATTTCAGGAGAATCTGCCACAGTAGAATAGTGAGAAAGCATCTTCTCTGCTTCATCTTTATACTTTTTCTAAAAATATGAACAGTAAATAGATAGCTGAAACTCCGTGAGTGTGCACGCACATGTGTGTCCACACGAATGAGACAGACAGAGACAGAAAATGATCCTACTTATCCCAACTCTTCTACACCACATGGCCGTAAATTATTCAAAGCAAGAGTTGATGCAACAGTGAAAATAAAGGGAGTAGGCAGAGAAAGCAAACAGTCCAGGGGAGCAGCCTCCCCTCTGCTTGGGCAATGGGTTCCACCCCAGCCCACTCAAACCTCATGAGGCTGAGCTCCACCCACTGCTTGGTTTAGGACCTCCTCTTCCAGGACCAGTCCTAGTTCCTATGCCTACTTGTTTTCATGCTTCTGGATTTATGCTGTGCTTCCTACTTCAGATAAAGATACATTTGATCAAGGGAAAGGGGCTAGTATTTTTGTACTTGAGATAAAAATCTCAATTCTCTCTCTACTAAATGTACTGCTATGAGCTCTGATAGAACCTGGGCAATACCTTCTAGGGGTACCCGCGTTTACATAGTGCTTACTATGGAATGGGTGCTGTTCTAAATACTTACCACACATTAACTCATTTGATCAATCCCACAGCAGATACTATTATTATCCACTCTATAGATGGAGAAACTGAGGCATTAGCTAAGAAACGTCAGAGCTAAAATTTAAATCCAGACACTCTGGCTCCGAAGCCAGTGAAGTTAACCATCATAGCATACTGCTGCTTGTCAGCAAAGGTGACTCTTGTTCATGTTGAAATGCACCACGGCATCATCACATCCTCTCAACTATTCCATTGTATCCAAAATAACTAAAATTCCTTAAAATCAGATGCGTCCCCATGTCAAACTCAAAAAACTAACACTGTCAAAAGTTAAAGCAGGAATTCTGACAGCTCAGGCATCACTTCCTCTTTACTCTTGATACCTTTTCTTTCTGGTAGTATATATCATACTTTATAATACTACATTTGCATGATTATTTAATTATTACATTAGCCTGTAACTCCCCAAGGGCAAAACCATGTCTAATTTTGCATGTAAATGGATGCTCAGGAAGTATTTGCTGAATAAAGGAATGAGCTTGGCATTCTTGAGACAGCAACTTTTCTCCACTGACTCAAATGGCCATTTGCCTATTTTGTGTATTTATCTATGGTTTTAGTGCAGCTGATACAGTTCAAGCGACCTTCTCCAAGCTCACGTGCCACGATGTGATGCTGAGGATAGACTACAGGACCATCCCAACCACTACATCATCCGAGGAGGCCGAGAAGCAGACAACTCCTCTGATATTTGACTCTGCATCTTGATATCACCATTGTGAACCAGCAGATATTTAGACACCTTGCTTATGTGTTAATCAGAATTTTAACCAACTTGGTCAAATTTTCTTAAAAACTATTTTCAGCACAAACCCCATTAATCAAAGTTAATTCCTTAGTCAATTTTCCATAACCATTTTACATTTTTTCATTCCCCTTTACTATCTTTTTCCATTGGGATTCATTCTTTTCCTTGTAAATTTTACAGCACTCACTAATGACTACTTTTACCCAAATTGAATTTTATCAATAACTTCTTCTTCCATTAAATATTTTCTTTTGTGGTCATTATTTCTCTCATATCCAGTTTTTCTAGAGGATGTGTGACAAGTACACTTGGCAAATTATATTTTACCAAGAAAACCTAGTTCTTCTCAATTTTTAGTTAATATTCAGTTTCACCTTACACTTTGTGCAGTTTTATTCACTCAGTTTTAGTTGGGGCTGATTATTTTAATAATAACATTCATTATAAACTAGGTAAAAGACAACTCGTGTGTAATCTTTTTTCCCTAGTGTGAGCACTGAAGCCAAGTGCGCAATAGAGTCAAAAAATAAAAATAAAAAAAGGTCAAAATGTCCTCAGGCTCAAAACAGAGGGCCCCAACAGGGCAGCTTTGATGCTCAATAACGTCTGTTGAATTGAACCTACAGCGGTTGCCCCTTTCATTAGTGAGGTTAATCAAGTTTGGCCAGAGGTTCCTTTACAATAGAGTACACTGACTCTGAATACAGTGCCCTCAAAAAGATAGCAATCATAGAGACACACAAAGCACATCATTATTGGATATCAGAACACATCACTTCAAGCACCTTCATTCTCCACCTACCTGGCTATAGATGTCAGATGCCCTCTTGGCTCGAAGCATGTCTGGGATATCCATGCTCACCTGCATTCCTTTCCCTCTAATTTCATTTTCTAAGTCCTTCTTATATTCTTTCTGAAAGAACAGAAAATAATCTTCAGAACTTAGCTTAACCTTCCACAGCAACGCAGATATTTATGTGTTTGAATCTCCAAGCCACACATGGGGCAATACCATTCATACTCTTTCTAGATACAATTCAATATGTTTGCCTTAAACTTTGTATCCTGTTAGTTTCTTACCTGGCTGGTCATTTCGGATGCTTTCTTAGCCCTCTGGATATCCAGAGTGTCTGCGCCCACCTGCATGCCTTTCCCCTTAATTTCAGTCTCCAGATCTCTTTTATAGTCTTTCTGTAGGAAATAAAACGTGCAATTAGAGCTCTACGATAATTTGAAAAAACTGGGTTGAAAAACTTGAAGTCATTTTTGACATCAGGATCATGGCTTTTGGCAATAAGTTGGACCTTTATTTCTTTTATTTCTATAGTACTAGGGTTTTCACTTGTGGTTAGGAACATGCCTCGGAGTGACTTATTCACAAGTAATCAGGAGGCTTTTTTCTACTAACCTGAATCAAGAAAGGAAACAGAGTTAGCCAAGGGGAAATTTTCTATATTTCAGTATAATAAAATTGACAAATTATTGGTTAATATATAACTCAGTTGATAAGTGTCAATCAGATGGAATTGTAAAATTATCACTTTCGTTCTGTAGTGAATAATTGCTGCTTGCTGCCCTGGAATCCGGCCACTCTTTTCCCTTCATTAACTGCCTGGTTTGCCACTGGGCAATTCACTGCCCGCTCATTCTAAACCACTCAGCTCGGGTGAGCCTGGCCCAGGTCCATGGGCTCTGTGGGACTTAAATAAATCATTAGACCCCTTCCCTGGCTCTTTATGATTGCTTCAGGGGCAGGCGCATTTCTTTTACCAAGCAAGATGTCAAGAGACTTTCTCTTTCCTTCTGGACATAAATAAGGAAGGATGCAGCCCCGGGAGCTGCTAGATGCCTCTTCGTAAACAAGAGAAGAAAGCCTGCCTGACAACTGAAAGATAGAAAGTGAAACTGAATCACGCCGTTTGAGTCTCAGACCAAGCCGTGTCTAAGAACTCTTCCACTGTTTGGTATAAAACAATAAATTATCTGCTTTTTTTGAGCAAGCTTGACTTATATTATCCATCATTTGGAAAACAGTCATAATTACACAAACACAAATGTCTTAACAGACTCTTGCCACTTGTTAAAACCAATTTTAAAATTCACCAAGCTATATACTAACAATTGTACACTATTCTTTATATATCATTATTCTTTAATAAAAAATTTTATTAAAAGGAAAAAAAACTATTGACTATATCTAATTAAATTTCTTCCAAAACAGCTATTTTCTATGATGTTGACATACTCTAGATTTGGAGATTCTCTTTTAAAATCAATGTTGACTTGCTTATTTGTGATGTTCCAATTTTGGAGAAGCTGTAAATAAAAATCTCAGTCTCAGAGAAATATTACATTTTTTCCCTATCTTCGAATCATAAACCTGCCTATTTTCACTGACTTACATTCTCAGCTTCACTTTTCTGAATTAAGATTCAATAATAATATTTAACTTTCAAAATAATAATATTCAACTATTACTATGTCTGTAAAAAGCTCAGTTTTTAGTAAGCCTGTTTAGGGCCCCCAAACAAAACCCTTCGTTTGAAGGACAATATACATAGAAACTGAGGCACTAATCATAGACAGCCACCAAGGTCCCATGGTAGAAATATGTCATTTAATTTTCCAATATGAACTTTCAAATCTAGAAGTGTTGTAAAGCACATAGATAGAGCTCACAGGACACTAGCTGCATCAGTTAATATTGATGCACGATAAAACACCCTAAAACTTAGAAGGCTTAAAACAACAACGCTCTGACATCTGCATTTCAAGACGGCAAGCCCCAATCCACACAATGTTTTAGAACCTCTGCCGAGTCACACTTGCTAATGTCCTATTGGCTAAAGAAAGTCAGATGGTCGAGCCCAAAAGTACTGCAAGGTTTGACTCTTGGAGGTCACTAGTGTAACAATATACTACATTGATTTTACTGGAAAAATTAAACTTTGAACTATGGTGAACTCCCAAACTTTGACTGAAAAGGATTTGAGAGCCTGTCAGTTGGACGAAATGGGATATGACTATGATTATGTGCAAATAAAAGCTTTGGATTGCAAAGACAACGGCACCATCAAAACTGCTCTGGGCTACTTGTAACCATGGTACAGCCCTCTCCTCTAGGCCTGTTTCCCCCAGGTTCTCAATAACTAAATTTGCCCCATTTTCCTAGTATGTAGTCCCAAGGGACACAGAGAAACCTAAATCAGCATATCATTGAATAAACTAATCTATGAACATACTAAGGAAAGACATGACATTTCAGCTTTTCATAAAAGGAATACATCTTAGAAGCCTGCTCTTAGGTAAAAGTGTGAAATACAAAATTTTTGTTCTTTCCACATTCTTTTCTTCAGCAAAAGAATGCTTTCTTTAAACTCTCAGGCCCATGAAGATGATTTTGAAGCCTTCTCCAGCCCCAAATCCCTCCCCATCCCTACCCCCATACTCCAATCCAGTGACTAGAACTAATACTGGATGTCACCCCCTCCTCATAATAAGAAAAATGTCAGAGAATTATAGGTAATGATTAGATAGTTACTGGGTAGTTAGTTACTCCGAAGTCCAAGGAGGCCACCTTAAGAAAGGACTATTTAATCTAAGAAATGAATAACAAGAAAGAACCAACCTTGCAAAGACCAGGGGAAGGACTTTCAGGAAGACAGCAGAGCTGTCCAGAGACCCTAAATCCTGTGGAGGGGCAGACGGGAAGCCTATGAGACTGGAGCATAACGGACAACGGAAAAAGGGCACGGGATGAGGACGGGCAGCCTGGGGCCCATTCATGGAGGGGGGCCTTGAACGCCAGGGCAAGGAGTATGAAGTCTACGCTGGACATGAATGGAAACCACTGAAGACTTTTAAGTGGGGGCAGTAACATAATTTAATTCTTCAAGGATTGTTCTGGCTGCTAGGCAGAGAATGGATACAAGGGGGGCAATAACAGAAGCAGAATTCTGGTTAGGAAGCTATTGCAAGGATCCAGGTGATAGAGATAGTAATTTGGACTAGGGTGGGGACAAGTAGATGGATTTAGGAAACCATTATGGGACAGAATCAATAAAACTTGCTGACACGAGGAATTAAAGTGACTTATGGGATTTCATTGATGCCATTTGCTGAGAAGGGGGTGGAAGAGGGAAGTAGATCTGGGGAAAAAATTAAACATTCGGGTTTCAGCATGTAATGCTGAGATCCTTGTTATAATAAGGATAAAATGACGCATTTTATGTGTCATTTACATATGGTAATGCCTCTGAGACATCAAAAGGTAAATGGTTGCACATCCATGTTATAGAACACTTAATTTTTCTATAAGAATGAGGTAGAACTATACGAAGTAACATGGAAAAGAGTCCATAATATTAAGTGAAAAAAGCCAGCACAGAACAAAGTACATGGTATTTAAGTTTGCTTAAGTCTCTGTATGCACAAATGTATGTTTATCTATCTATACATAAACATAGATCTGGAAGGCTCTACAACAATTTTATAACAATGGCTATCTCTCAGGAGGAGAACAGAATTAAGGGCCAAGTGAAAGGAAGTTTTCAAGTACTTGTCCAGCATGCATCCTGCCCACCTGCTGCCATTTCAAATGCAAGTCCTATGGGTTAAGAATTCTATGCCATCCCCACTTCTTTGCCTAAACAAATATGGCCATCCCACTTCCCTGGCCAGTACCTAACCCTGGGGATGTAGGCAGATCCCATCACAGCCCTAACTCCCTGGCAATTAATCAGCTACCTCTCTTCTTCCAGATTTCCTGGGGGGGGTCAATCCTAAGCCAGCTCTTCCTAACTCAAGGGTCACAATATAGCTCTCAGGGTAGCCCCACTGAAGCCTCCCCGCAGTCAGCCTGGAGATGAGGGAGCAGCACCTCTTAACCTGCACCCCAACTTTCTCTTTACATGTGCTTCTTACGAAATCATCTCTTCCCAAACACCGTCCACTCCAGTGACCCTTTTATATTCTGGAAATTGCTGGGGGAGTTCAAGAAGTGTGGAACGAGTTCTGGGGCATTTGTTTTGAAAAAAACTCATACGATCTGACTCCTAGAACTCTGTCATCTGATATCTATCATATCATAGCCTCCAAGCCAAAACTTTTAAATTAACATCCTGTCGTTACATGTATTACATATACAAAGAGGAAAATGGTATTAGATGAAGGAACATGGTCATCTAGGATATGCAACACCTCAACCCCAAATGCTGACTCTGTAGAAATTCCAGGCATGGCGATGAGGTCAACAGACGATGCAACCAAATCACACAGAAATGGCTATCACTGTCATGTTAGAGTATCAATATGTGATTTTCAAGTTCTGCTCAGAAAGCTGGAAATACAGATGTGCCAAGTAGCAAATGATTTAAAGAAAAAGTAGTATGAAAACACTGATTGCAGCCTAGATTAACATGAAATTTATTATATTACAGGATAAGATAAGAAGGTAAGGGGGTGCGTGTGTGTTTTCTTTTAAAATGCCTTTCCTCAAGTTTTCTTTGATATATTTAAAGGATATGAGCAAAGCAGAAACTGCAAATTTTCAAATAAGTGTGATGATTTGGAATGGTTTCCATTCCAAACTGTTAAACTGAGCACAGAAAGCTTTGGGAAATTCCATGGACTAAGCAAGTTGTTAATATGATTTATTAAGTTCCAAAATACAAGTTTAAGGTCTGCCTCATTCACTCCACTAACCTCACTAGCCATCTCCGAGGCTTTTCTGGCATGTTGTATTCCGAGGGTGTCAGCGCCAACTCGCATCCCCTTCCCTTTAATTTGTGACTCCAGGTCTTTCCTGTATTCTTTCTGTAAAAAGCAACATTTTGTAACATTCAGACACACTCAGGGGACAAACACATAGCAATGATACCAAAAAATGTTTAAATACACATATTTTAAAAAGAAGAAGAAAACACAGCCTACTTTGCATTATGAATAATCTGATTGCATCTCATTGGATCGCCTGCTATCCGGCGCCCACAACTGACCAAATCACTGTGTGATGTCAAGAGAGTTTAACGTGCTGGTGACCTAGTACGTTCTCATGGTCACCCATTTGTTGAGTTAACTTCCTAGGTAGTTTAACAGTGTTTTAAGTATAAAATATTCTAAATTGTTATGTGTTTTTTAAAAAATTGATATTCATCTTTGGCCATATTCATGTTCTTTAAAGAAATTGAAGGATACATTAAAAAAGCATTCTAGTGAAATTAAAAATATACATGGGGAGTAAGGAGGGGATGGAAATCAACCCACCAAAAGTGCATGGATTGAGGGGGGTCAGAGGTAATTCCCCAACTGTCTTGGGAGCTGGAGGATAGGGAGGCAGGTCTAAACGAGTTGACATAGAAAGAAGACTGACTTTGAGGTCAGAGCGCTCAGTAGCTGTGAGACACTGGGAATGTTTCTCAGCATTTCTGGTTTTCTCATCTGCAAGATGGGGATAATAATTCCTCTATGCAGGATCAGTGTGAGGATCAATGAGACAGTGTATAGCCTGGTGCCCACACAGAGTGGGTGTTCCATAGTTTTTTTTTTTTTTTTTTTTGAGGAAGATTAGCCCTGAGTTAACATCTGTCACCAATCCTCCCCTTTTTGCTGAGGAAGACTGGCCCTGAGCTGACATCCATGCCCATCTTCTTCTACTTTTTATATGTGGGATGCCTGCCATAGCATGGCTTGACAAGCTGTGCAGAGGTCCACACCCGGGATCCGAACAAGCGAACCCCGGGCCGCTGACGCAGAATGTGCGAACTTTACCCCTGAGCCACCGGGCTGGCCCCTAAACAGCTTTTTTGATCTTTCACTCCTATATCCATATGCTAAGGCCTGATTTATTGCTGCTTCTGCTACCATCTTGCCATTTGTCTGCATCTGACTGGACTCTGCCACTGAGAGTATAAAATGATTTTTCCAAATATTTCTGATGAGTGTTACAAGATCTAGCTCTGAAGGTGGACTGCACATGTCACCATAACAGAAGAATTTGTAGAAAATTACTACTGTAGGACTATGTAATGGCAAGATTAGCTAAAGACATCACAGTGGACATCTGTTGTTTTGCCTGACCAGCATCCATTCCTCTTTCCTCTGGCAAAAAACTCCATGATGTTCTTTGGAGGAATTCCTCTAATCCCTCTCAATCCATACACTTTGGAAAGGGTTGAGAAGCATACCAGGTCATACCAGCACTTTACACTGCCCTGACATTACACAATAATTGGGTCAAGTGTGGGCACAGGATAGAAGGTGATCCAAGGAGATTCAATCCGAGGACCTTAATTCTAACTGTAAGAAAAAAGATGCTCACTTCCCACTGTGATTACTGACCCTGTTGTTAAGAGGGGCCATGACACAGAGACAGCCTCCCAAGAGGGAAGCAATAGAGAAGATAACAGAACTGAGAGATGAAGGAAGAGAGACATCAAGTGAATTTCAACCTGAAGGAAACTTGATCGTTGAACTTCTCTATTAATAAACCAATACATCTCCTTTGTTTCTTAACCCAGTTTGAACTGGGTTTCTATTATTTGCAACCTGACGAATAGGGTCCCCATCATTATCACCACAATTTATTAACATATGGGGATAAAGCTTTAAATTTTTTCACTGCTCAGCTACAGTCTCTTCAAAGCAGAATGCCACTATGTGATACCAAAATAATGGCATAACACAAGGATGAAAGGACTGAAAGCACTTCAGAGGCATTTCATTCCTTATAAATATCACGTAAAGTGAGCAACGATCACTTTCATTTTATAAAGTGGGTTACACAGACTCATTCAGCAGCCTAGGCAAGGACTGGGAGAGTCGATTGGGTTGTGAGCAGAAGAGCAAGTGAACTTTTAAACTGCAGTTACCAACAGACCATGATAACATACGTTCCTAATCTTCTGCCTTTTACGTGCTTAAAAAATCAGTTATATCTCATACAATTATTTGGGTTTATTATATAGATTTCCCTCTAAAATGAGGAAATGGTCATTTTTCTCATACTACATGGAAAGGAAATGGTGAGCATCATTTTTTTTTTTAATTCACTGATTAGGAAAAGACTACTAGGACATAGCTGCTTATAATCAACTTACACATAAAAAAATCAACTTATCGGGGCCGGCCCCACGACCTAGTGGTTAAGTTCGTGCACTCCGCTTCAGCGGCCCAGGGTTCAGATCCTGGGCACGGACATGGCAGCGCTCATTAGGCCATGTTGAGGTGGCGTCCCACATGCCACAACTAGAAGGACCCACAACTAAAAATACAACTATGTACTGGGGGGATTTGGGGAGGGAAAAAAAAAGCAGGAAAAAAAAAAAGAAGATTGGCAACAGTTGTTAGCTCAGGTGCCAATCTTTAAAATAAACAAATCAACTTACACATATAATCTTTGAGAAAGATTTACAAATAAGAAATCAGCTGAAAATTCACACATTCTCAGTTGTTAAATAAATATACTCACCTCACTAGCCATTTCAGATGCTCGTTTTGCTCTTTGAATATCAAGAACTTCTGAATTAAGTTCCATTCCTTTCCCTTTTATTTCATTTTCCAAATCTTTTTTATATTCCTTCTGTGAGGAAAGAATATTACAGTTTAAAATTTACTGGGAAGCTCTTTAACTGACATACTGTTTTACATGTTTTCTAGAGACCACAGAAAGCAGAAAATATTTCTAGAAAAGAATGAAATCACTCTCCTGAGAGTTCATGCTCCTTATTTCCTACAGAGACTTCGTTTTCTCTTAATCATGTTTAGAGTGGCTTCCAACATTCTCAGACTTTTCCCTTTTATCCTTTCTTCCCATGTTTTTTGGAACCATATTGGTACCATCTTTTTAAAAGACGTCTTCCCTTTAAATATTCAGGAAGATGCTAGGAATACACTCATTAATTATTTGAAATATTTCTTTGAAAGCTGTCTATAAAATATGAATCACCAAAAGAAGATAGTTGAAAAAGAATGAAAAATTACAAAATCAAAAGCATTGATGTAGCCAAAGTGAAATTCATTCTATTTAAAGGTTAATAAAACCAAATAATTATATTGATAATATATAGTTTGAATTTCACTTATTTTAATATCATATTTTAAGTTGATCCAAATGTCTTTACTAATACTTATATATGACTTGGGGGGTTTTTTGTGCTAATGGATTTCTTGTTTTCTTACTAATTGCATTATGAAAACAATACATATCTTAATCCATTTCAACCAAGTTGCATTTATAACTAACTTACCAGATGAAAGATGAAACTTCCTTTAATGATAAGAAATCAAGCTCTAGTTAACCCTAGCGGTCATTTCATGTTATTTTCTCTTTGTCCAGTATAATTAAATTAGCCAGACCTCTGCTTAACTAATAGCCTACAAGACATTGTAACGACCTGCATGCAATTTTGGAAAGTGCTCTGGTGTCAAATGGCCTGGATGAAAGTCAGAGTTCTTTTACTTATTGAGTCACGTGACCTTCAAGAGACCTTTAAGTAACTATCCTTGATTTCCACACAGGCAAAATGGAAATAAAAATTCTTCTTCTCCCAATGTCAAAGGGTAACTGAGGGAATCAAATGAAATTAAGAATGAAATGATACTTTGAACACTCCAAACGGGAATACAAATGCAAAAACCATCAAGTAAAGAATGCCAAGACAAGTTAAAGCTAAAGGTTTACCCTTAGAAAGGGAAGTTACAATGTCATTAAGTCACTAAGAGTCCCTTTTTAAAATCAGACATCTCTATAACTTCATTAAAAGATTTTTCATCGTAGTCTTCTGGGGCTTTTTTCTATCCTGATGCATACATTCTGAATCAATAAGTCAAACAAGATTCATTTAAAAGGAAGAATATACAAAAAGGCGATAGCATGTATATCAAAGTCATTTATGGACCTCAAAATAGATCTCAGATTGTCATCTGTGGGTAAATGATGAAAAGATTCCTCTTTAAAAAATTCAATAAATAGTGCATATTTTTTAAATGGAAGACAATAATAGTAGAAAGTTGCCATTTGATTAATCTTCAACTTCAAAATATTTTATAGGTACTAGAAGTGAGAAAAGATAGGGTAGCAAGAGAACTCTTCTGTAAATTACATGTCTATTTCAGCCCAAACTACAACAGTGAATCACATTAAATTTCTAAAAGCAGTTAAATGGTAAAGGCCAGCTGGCATTTGGTTATTAAAGAAGTTCACTACGATGCACATCTATGTAGGTAATTATACTCTAATTTATGTCACTGGTTTAAGACATTTCTTTCAGGAATAGTTTCTTGAGCTCAAAAATCAGGATGAAATGGAGTTCTCTAATGCTTTTCCTCAATGTAAAAAGAATCTACCTAAACAGAGAGTTGGAAGAGCTCCAAGTTATGCAGCCATTTAAAAACAAACAACAAAAACAAAAAAACTTTTAAAGGAACGGACTGTGAGCATGATACTTTTAACTGTTCAATTTGAGGACCTTAAGGGTCAACGCATGAGCCTAAAGGCACTATTAAGTTTGGGGTGAAATTCTGTTGAGAATAAAATGAAAAGTGGACATGAGTTCCTAAGTTCTATATGCTAAATGTTATTTTTTTCCCTATGAAGAACACAAACCACTCATAAGTAATGTACATTTATCCAGACCTTCACACACGAGCACCTCATTTTTGCTATCCAGTGTCATGAGAACACTGCAGGGAAGCTACAGAAAAAGCTGGTTCCAATACGCACTTTTATAATAACTAAATTTGAGAGAATCAAGCTTGCCTTACCCATATGCAAAAGACTTTTTTTAAAAAAACTAACTGCAATAAAGCTATAAAACTACTTACAGAGCTTCTGAGCTACACCCCAAACACAAAATCAGAATATTTTTCAAGTTTGTCCAGGAAATCTGGGTAATTTCTTCCCCCAACTTTAAATGGAAATGTTAACACACACACTTTCCTGTTTTTAATGAAAATGAAAAACTCTACTAGTAAAGGTCGAAGTGAGGAAAAGAGTAATGGATTAATATCTCAAACACTGAAGTAGTTGAGAATTAAGTAAATATTTCCAGGGTTTTTCCTCTAGTTTTCTTCTGCAACATTTAATAGTAAATAGCAGATTCATACCTCCTTCAGAAGGTTGGTGATGTACTTTACATGTAAAAATTCTGGAGTCTTGTCTAAATCCAGTGATGACTTTCCTTTAATCTCCTTCTCAAAATCCTCTCTGTAAACTTTCTGTTAAATAAGATCACATAATTTTACATTTAAAAAATATTAGTGACTGTTGAAAAGATATTAGAACAAGAGTTCCCAGAACAAAATTGATGTTTTCTTATATAATTCTACCACCTCAAAGTCTTCTTATCAACAGGAAAGTAACTCCAACTTTATCATAAATTTTAGAATTCTACCAAAAAGCAGCAGAATCAAGTACCAGTTCCTCTGGGACAGCATTCTGAGTGACGCTGTTTAACACCTTATAATCTGTTATTATTTGACATCAACCCATTTGGAGAGGAGAACCAGTAAAGTTGGCTATTTGATTGGGTCATCTACTGGTTCACTCAAAAAGAAGTGGATCCATCCACTGGAAGAAAATCTGGTGGCATGGAAGCCCATTCAAATCAAAATGGTATTAATATTCATGGCCTCATCATCCCTCTCACTGTCATCTTTTGTGAATTCAGGAAAGACCATTTCTAAAAATGTAATGGGGGCCGGAGGGGAAGACTTTCCTTAATGATTTTGGTATTGAGAATATTTCTCGACCATCTATGGAGTTGGATATGAATCAAGTTACACAGCGAGGAGAATCTTATCTTGAGCCTGGTAAATTGTTCTTTAGGTAAGAGTTCACAAGAAATAAAAGAAGATGCTGACAGCGATTGGGAAGAGCCTAAATCTATACCCTACCTGCCCTTTAGACACTGACACCCCTCAGCTATTATGCTCTAAAGTCTACCATTTGAACTAGGCATCTGAAAGTCAATGGGAACCCATGCTTTATGACTATAAGCACGGTCTGTCTACATAATAAAAATATCCAGCCATGTGAGATATTTACCAAACAAGGGCCCAGATTTTACCAGCTAAATATTTTATTCAACTTGCATCACAAAGATGATAAAAGTAAATAAATTCTGCATGAGATTGTTACTAATGCAAAATGAGAAGCTACTTCCAGGTTTACTATGTACTTATTACAGAGATAGCTAACTGTATAAAGAAATTCTCTAAACCACAAGGGAGATAAGAGATGCATATCATCTCCTCACTTACATCTGTGTTACATATGGCCATTTAACAAGTAATCTACAGAGAGCCATGAGAAAAGGCCACAATGGATGTTCTGTAAATACTAAAATCTAACAAAGCTATTTAAGAAGCTGCATTGAGAACATTCTAAATTAAAGGAACTACAGATACACCAAAAACGATGATGAGAAGTTGTCCTCTTCTTTATGTGAGACTGAGATAATACAGTTATAAGGCTGAAACTATGGCATTGCTAGGCCAAAAATGACTCTTTCAAAAAGTGAAATATGTGTATTTATTCATTTCAGATATTTTACTTCAAAAAGCCCTTCTCCTCTGAAAAAATTATTTTACTGAAATAAGTCATCAAGGAAGGTTGATTATGACTAGAACTGGCCAATATACAACTAGCGGGAAAAATTCCTTTAGCATGCTTTTTGTTACGAGAACTATATTTGTGAAAGAGAAGGCGAAGAAGTTTTCAAAGCCAGATTTAGAGATTTCTTCTAGAAAACACACTGATTAAACCTGCATCTGGTATTAGAAGAAAGTGAGAGAAGCGTAATTATAGGCTAGAACAGAAACATCAGTGGCTTTCCCTGAGATCATCAACACTCAGCTTTACCTGTAGGAGGCTCTCTAAACAGTTCAGTCAAGCTTACCTCTTAGGAACAAAAACCATCTCTGAGCCAGACAGTTCTCTTTGTGTCTACTTCATTGGTCGTAATTCAGAGACATCTTTCACATCAAACTTGTCCTAACTAAAATTTTTAGATATTCTATCTTTCTAGCCTTTGGAGAACAAATTTGGTCCAAAGATATTTCTTATTAGAAGATTTCTCTCTCCTCGAGCCCTGCTGAGCAGAAACACAATTACTGAGCCTAAAACTCTAACAGCAACGGCTATAATTAAAGGGAAAACACATCTCAGCCTCTGCAAAGGGATATTTCGCCCTAGTGACAATACTGGAAATCAGAAGAGCAAAAATTGAAAGCCAATTTTAACAAAAGGCCCACAATGTAAGTTAATTCCACAGCATACAATAAATATATAGCTAAGTTAAATGTTAAAACTGTTTATATCCGATGTCCAAACAGCCAATCAGAAGCAAGGAATTATTTCATTTGACGGATTCGGTTTTTAGTTGCATCATTTTATCTTCCTTCCACGTTGTGTGGCCAGAGCAATGGTAAAAGCAAAGTGCTAGTTATCAGACTTCCAAGAACTGCGCCAGGAAACAGGCCGACATAGAAACAAGAGCACTTCTTCAATGCTGAGGGTACCTTCAAAGTCCCTGTCATCTGTAGAGTGAAATTTGTTCTCAGGGAATATTTTTGGTTTTGAGGGTTCATCGACAATGGAAAAACATCAACTGGAAGTTTCATGTAAATAAAGACAATTTGGTCTACTTTGCCCATGGAATCTTTGAGAAGCAGATATCTGTAAGTTTAGGGGTTTTTATTTTTTCCAATTCATCTGGTTTTTACAATGTTAAGTTAGGGGAATATTAGTTTCCTTCAATGAGCCAGGGTTTCTCAAAGTGTGCTCACCGGCCTACCTACATCAGAAGCACTTGGGATATGGTTAAACTACGATTCCCAGGCTCCACTGCGAGACGTATGGTAGCAGGCCCTGAGGCAGCAGCGCGGGGATGTGCATTCCCAACATGCTTGCCCGAGACCTATCCACACAGGAGTTAGGGTACCACAGCCATAGGGAGAAAGAGGGAAGGGGAAATAGGATATTCAGAAGAGAAAGTACAGAGAGGACCGAAGAGAAGGAAAACAGAGAGGGAAGCATTTCCCTCTGTGAATGAGATGAGAGTGTAGCACAAACACCGAAACAATAACAGCCTGAGGCTCAGAGGAAGAATATTGAGAAAGCCTAGTTTGGAAGGTGCTGGTCTTCTCAGTAAAGAAGGAGGCACGGCTATCAATGAGATCTTGGGGACCAGGATCAATGGCTGTCCAGTGAGATCTACACATGACAATGATTCCAGAGGCTCAACACGGGAGTTTGCGTTCCATCTCCCTCACTTGGCAACAGCGCAAACTGCCAGAACCTCCTAACCTCCTTCACCCTACGAAAGGGGCCATCAGACCCCGTTTCACAGGGTGGGGCTGAAGCTCAAGTGAATGGGAAAGCACAGCTCAGGCAGGAAGAAAGTGGACTGGAAAAACTAAAGAGTCCAGGAACTTGATTTTCACCTTCATGCAAAGAGCGCACTTGGCAGGAGTCAGAGAACAAGGTGGGTAAAGAAAAGAGAGACTACGATAAGATGAGGATCTAATATCCCAGATCACAACATACCACCATTTCTAACACAGAAATGCAGTATTAGAATATATTAATCACAAATTGTAAGTTCCAGGATTTATTGGTGAGAGGAAGGTAAATGAACTAGAGTAGTAAAAAATAAGGAACCATGAGATCAGAATGACACACGGATCTTCAGCATGGATGGTCCCGTGGCTGAAGATCAAGGATGAGGGGAAGAGGCAAATGGAGATGGAGGGCAGAAGGGGGCAAAGATGAGGGCAAACCTGAAATGCTGGTACCACCCTCTTGACGCTGTCTCAGAAAAGTAAAGTGATTTCGATCTCTATGTCTCTTAGTGCAAATTTACTTAATAACTTCACATCGTCTTCAACATCCTGAGAACCCATGAGTGAAAGCCATGACAGCTCGCGGAAGTAGAAACCTTTCTCTGGGCTGTGGGTCAGTGACAACAGCCACATTATTCCTCTAAAACGGGAATTCATAGGAAAGATGACTCTAATCCACCCAAAGAAGAACCCGCTGCAATGGAGGACAAGAAAGCGAGGTAAAGGATGTATACAGTACTTTCCATACTGTTCTTGAAATGCAGAAAAGGTGTTAGGACTGAATGTTTGTGTGCCCCCAACATTCATATGTTGCAACCTCACCCCCCGAGTGATGGTCTCAGGAGGTGGGGACTTTGGGAAGTGATTAGGATCAGATGAGGTCATGAGGGTGGAGACCTCGTCATGGGATTAGTGCTTTTATAAGAGTCACCAGAGAGCTTGCTTCCCCTCTCTGCTCTCCACCAGGTGTGGATATAACGAGAAGGCAGCAGCCTGCACGCCAGAAGATGGCTCTCAGCAGAACCCAACTGGCTGGCAGCCTGATCCCAGAATTCCAGCCTCCAGAACTGTGAGAAAGAAATTTCTGTCGTTTAAGCCTCCCAGTGTGTGGTACTTTGTTACAGCAGCCCAAACTGACTAAGACAAAAGATGTTCCAGTAAAACTTATCTTATTACATGCAATTTTTTGTAGGGCTTCTAAGCCTTGACCAAATTTACCTGCTCTATCAATTCAGTTAAAACAAACAACTAATTTAGTCAAATATTTGCCTGACCGTTCTTGATCAAATTTCCCTTTATTGGCTTAAGAGGATACGAGACATGAAAAATACAAGTAATTATTTTCTCCTCTCTTGCTTGAAGAAGAAATTAAACAACAAGCCAAAGTAATGTCTGAGTGCCCTTTCCCTGAGAAGAAGAATGATAACATTTGAACAAATAGCACATATAACGTTTACAAAATTCCTATGAGAGTTTCATTGTCCAGAAGTCATCATTTCTCCCTATTTTGATGTCGCTATTGAAGAATAGAAAAGATCTTGTCCACTGAGCGTGTGTGGAATGGAGCAGTGGGGCTGGAATCAGCTGCTACTATTGCCCATCATTTCTGTCCCTTTGAAGAAATGACTTGGTTATATCCAGAGAATTTGGATGTGGGCTGCAGACAAAAACCTTGTGTCTGGTGTCTGGTCCCCAAAAAAGTAGGAATAAAAAAACCAACAACAACAGAAGAAATCTCCCTGGGACAGGTGAAAGCACTGTGGGGGAATATCTGCATGTGACTTAGCATTATCTTAAGTAGAGAATAAAGTGAATAAGCAGGAAAAATCTTAACTGATCTCTTCTCTTGATACTTCAAAACTTCCATGTCATGTTATCGGAGGGGAAGGGGAAAGGAATCAATTAAATAAGCTAACAGAGAAAAGAGAATCATTCATGACTTTGACCAGGTCCTAAAACTTTGGTATTTAGTGGATTTTAGATAAAATTTTAGGTTAAGACAATTTTATGGATGCACTATCCATCTGCGGATAATACCTACCTAGCATCATTACCTTGAGAGGATTAAATGGGCTGATAGATATAAAGCTTTAGCATATTACTTAGCACAGAGTATTTAATAAATGTTAGTTCTAACGTCATCAGGAAAAAAAGGTAAATAAAGCATCCAGCTCTTCATTTTCTTTTCATTTTTTTCTACTCATCATAGTTTCACATGGACACAATCTGAAAGAATCAATGTTATAATCGCAGAATGTGAGAGCTGAGAAGGACATGAAGAGCTTACCTGGCCTTATAGCCATCTTGGCCAAATGGGAATAACTAAGAACCAGAGAGTCCCAGCGACCCAGACAAGACGCCCAGATCTAGAACACAGATTCCTGGGGTCTTCCCATGCAGCATGCTTTCTTGTAGACCCGCTAAACATTCTGAACCCCTTTACTAGTTCCTTTCAAATGATAAAACATCAAATATACATTAAACAGTTGATAACAAATCAAAAGGACTCACCTCACTCTGCATCTTCTGAGCTTCCTTTGAAGCCTGATATGATGGTGTCTCAACAAATTCAAGCATGGATTTCCCCTTATTTTTCTCATATTCTTCTTTGTACTTAACCTTCATTGAAAAAAGTATAAGAGGCATGTAAAGCTCACAAGCCCTTCTACAAATAGAGCAAAGGAAAATAAATATATGTCCAGAATGAATCATCCTATTTTCTAAAGTCACATTATTCTGGCTAAGTTGATCACTGGGTTCTCTGTGGTTAACGACATAGATGAAAGTAAACAGATAACAAAATTTTTTAAGGAATAAAAATAATTTAGAACTACTAAATAATGTAGTTCCAGGACTTGTATCAAGTACTTAAATAGCTGGGATATATAGATATGTATCATATGTATGGAGTTACATACGTATACACATATAGTATACACATATATGTGGGTATAAAGAGAGAGAGAGAGGGAGAGAGAATGAGAGAAAAGAGAGAAAGAGATCCTTGTGATAGCTTTGAGTGTCTATCAGTAAACAATGAATAAGAAGGAAAACATAGGTGTGATTTTTCTATCTTTCTGTCAAAGGGAGGATTCTGGGATTGCTGAATTTTTCCATAGACATTGAATAAAACACACACAGAGCTTTTATGTGATTCCTTTCAGTTTCACTATGCATTATTTAATAATATTGTATCATGAATTATTTATTTCCAGTACAACCAATCCTCATCTTATTTCAGTTTATAAAATGATCAATATTTTCTATCTCCTAGTAACAAAAACTAAAATTATATGTAAGCTGTCAGAGCCATTGGCTTTTTTAGCAATAGATCTTTTTAAATTAAATTCATAGAAAAGTTTTGATCATGATTCATCTCATTCAGAAATGTATTTTCATCAAAATTCTTGTTAAGTAATTATTTATGAAATTGTTTCTTAAGTTATATAATAATAACTGTAATGATAGATGCAAAAGAAAATTTTCAATATTTAGAACATCATGGTGGCAGAAAATATAACGATTTTAAAATTTTTATTTGCAGGCATATTTTTGTTTCAGAGAAGTATTATAGAGTGATCAAGGAAAGTGAAGTATAATAACATACTACATTAGGATAAAATCTCGTAGGAAAATGAAATTCAAAGAATTTCAAAAAAATAAGAATTCAAAAAGAAAAAAAAATGTACATTTCCAAACCTTAAAGGAGAGTTGGTTTGTATATTTTTTAAATAAATAAAAGGTTTCAAATTATTATGGAATTTATGTTCCACAGGATACCTTTAAAAGAGTGATAGAAAATTTTATCTTAACAAATGCTGGAAATGACATCTTTTGCAACTATGGAAACTCTGAACGAAAAACAATAGATATCAACTTTAAAATGTTCAAGGAAGATTTTTTTAAAACTTCTTTCAGGGAGTACATAGGATTTCATAAAGGACACATTAATTTAGAATATACTGGTAAGATAATTTTCCCTTTTTAATAACACTTATAATTGAGAAATTATAATAAACTTTGCACTTGGAAAATTAATTTTGCAGCTCAAAATGACAAATCAGTACACTATAAAAATGGAAATCATCAAGAGATTTCATCATTTAATTAATTCATCTACTCTTAAGTTTTAAATTGCGTAAATTAACTTATGTTATAAAATGCCTTTATACTGAAACGTAGTTCAAGCTTCCCCCACCCAACAAATATAGAAGAAAACAGTGTTTGAGATTCTCCGAAGCAACGTTTACTTTCTCAGGATGTACGTTCATTTCCGCAGCCAAACGTTTTCAGCGGAGGCGGCGGCACTGAGTGGTTGCAGGGTCCAGACAGGGACAGTGCGTACCTGACTCTGGAGCGTGGCGTTGCCTTTATGGTGCAGATGTTCTGCAGCGTCTGCGTCGAAATGATACATTCCTTTGTTTTCCTCAAAAAGCTTTCTATACTCTCGCTAAAACAGAGAACGTGAAAAATAAATTTAGAATGAAAGAGGCTGATGAGAGCAATGAATACTTAGGAATGCAAACTGAAAAATACAAGCCAAGGAGTGCTGCAAAGCTGCTGTCAAGTTCCCACGGGCAGTCGGCTGGCCGTGTAGATATCTGACACTGAGATAACCGAGGCTGCAAGACAGACCGGCTCTAGGTGCTCAGTGTGAACAGCATGTGAAACAGTCAACAGAAGCAGAGGACAATTAGCCGTAGAAACAACGTCAAAGATACTCAGGACACTGGGGAGTGGATGCAGAAAAGCCAGTGGCAGGCCAGGTGGGCATAAAAAAGGTGATTTGTCCCGTCCTTATCTTAGAACGGGAATGAAGCACAGAAAAGAAGAAAGAACAGAGGAAAGCTGGAGGCAGGAAAGAAAAAAAGTTGTATATAAGAGCCCAGCCAGGAGGAAGATTGGGGGTCATAAGGAAAATGAGAGCATGAGAAATAATTCAACTAATTTTCCTAAAAATTAGGAAAATTCCAGGAGGTGCCTGGAAGAGAAACTGAGGAATCTGGGTACAGCGCATTGAATTTTTAAGATGAACAAATTGGATTAAGACTACTATTTAGACATACAGACAAAAAGCTGAATTTGGAAGAGACCAGAATGGATAAGGATGCCAAATTTGGCAACTGTAGGGCTCAAGATACAACAGGCAGCAATAAGACAAAAATTGCTTCATGACTTTTGTCATTGGAGACTGGACACTTAGGTGCTTTGCCCTATTTGGAAAAGACTTTTAGAAGTAAATGGTAACTCCCAAAGACTCAAGGTTACAGAGATGTAAACTCAAGTTCGTTGCTCATTAGGCACTGAGGGCCTCAGTAAAAATAGTAATTTTGCATAGAGTGGAGGGAGAGATAAGCAGCATTTGAAAGGGAGCAGGAAGGAGTTGGCCATACAAAACTGACATTTGGGTTTTAGCAGATGCCCCAACCACCTGAGAGAGAACCAGGAAGAAGGCCCAGTGCCAGGATGGGAAGGATGGGAGGATGCACATGAGAACTGCTGTTCCATGGGGACATAACAATGGTCTCCAGGGGCGCTTTCAGTCGATTAGGGAGCTAACATGTGTGTCTCCCAAAACTCTGACCAGAGTACAGTAAGGGAGAAGAGCAACCCTTGGGAGCGCATGAAAATGTTCACATAGGACATCTTGAGCGAAGAGAACAAGTTCTAAATGTTGGCTCCACTGCCAATTAAAAAAAAATAATAATCTCAAAGGATAACAGTATACTCAGGGACTTGATAATTTGACTAGAAGTTATTTTATAATATATTTTTTATAAAATAATTATGAACTGGGGGCAAGCCCAGGGGCATACTGGTTAAGCTTGTGCACTCCACTTTGGTGGCCCAGGGTTTAAGGGTTCAGATCCTGGGCGCAGACCTAGACACTGCTCATCAAGCCATGCTGTTACAGCGTCCTACATACAAAAAATAGAGGAAGATGGGTACAGATGTTAGCTCAGGGCAAATCTTCCTCAAGCAAAAAGGGGGAGATTGGCAACAGACGTTAGCTCAGGGAAAATCTTCCTCACCAAAATAAATAAATAAAAGTATGAACTGAATGCAACAAGCTAGGATATATCCAATTACTGAGTTAAAATCCAGAATTAATAAAGCCTAGGATATTATGTCTGGAATAATGAATATATACTGAGAAAAGGCCAATAAATATTGTCCCCACCACAATGGTCTATTTTAGTTACAGAGAATTTCAGAAACTCCTATCTTAAAAAAACCCTATTTGAATTAAGATCTGCAAAAGAATTTTCCATATTAGCTTTTCCTTATATAATAGTCTCTGTTGCCTCCTAGTGGGAGTTACACAGAGTAACACACAATATATACATTTTTAATTTATGCAAAGTTATAAAAGAAACTGAAAGCTACTAATGCTCTATTTCTCAGGAGAAAATGTTCCCTCAAAAATTTAATTAGTATGGCTACACAAACTCATAAGGCACTAATTTCACTCTATATACTATGCATTAAATTTTTTTAAATTATGATTTATACCAAAGACATTTAGAATTTAGAGGTTTAAAAACAGCCATTTATAACAAACTGACAACTATTCTTGGCAGAAGGTCTGTTTATTGAGCATTCTCTTATTCAATCTTTTAATAAAATTAAGTTGCCTTTATAAATCAACAAAATTCCAATTCTCTTTACATTAAAATTTAAAAGGTGGCAATTATAATGTACAATAAATTTGAGCCAACGTATTACTGTACAACTTTAATAAATAGACACTTCAGAGTAACACATTTTTTGAGTCTTAAAATTTCTCTCCCATGCAGTAATCATTCAGTCACAATTTTTCTCTGGGAGCAAAAAAATCTATAACCTAGGCAAAAGCACCAGTTGAATGAAGCCTTAAACTTTATACATGGTATATAAAATAAATGTAATAGATGACTTTGTTGGTTTTCTCTGCTGAAGAGATGACAGAAACAATTTATATTCAACTATGATTTTTTTCACCATTATAGAAAATAAAGGTCAATATTCTTGAAAAGAAATACTGCCTATGAGTGGCATGCATTCTTCCACCTACCAAATTTTTAAGTTACCACCGTGATATTTTTACTGGCTTATTTACATGAATCCTCATGTTCCTAGGAAATTTAACCCCAGTATGGAGGAGGACAGGCAAGGGCAAACGTCACTGCAATGATCGAAACGGGACGCCAAAGACTGAACGCAAAGAAAGCAGCAGGCTCAAACTAGAAACATCGATTTTTAGAAGCATACCTATGAGTCGTGGAAGAAAACGTGAAACAGAAACCAAGCCACTTAAGGAACAGAGGAACGTGTGCAGAGGGGTAGGGATGCGCATTGAAATGGCAGGGCTGTGAATTAACTGTCCTGGAACTGAGTCTAATTTTGTGCCACTTGTCCTCTAACCTTCATTCCCTGCTCGACAGACGGGAAAGAATGATGGGCTGCTTTTCCTCCAAGGACCAGTGACAAAAATTAATTAATTAATTAATTTAAAAATCTCTGTATCTATTATTTACATGCTTAATACACTGAAAGAAGCATGACAGTGGGGAAAAGAGGATTATAAAATAATGAACAGAAGTCTCAACATACCAAGCCAAGTGTAAACACTCAAACCTGAACTGAAGCTGGATCTCACTATTTAATAGTTTGGGAACCAGGTTTTGACTACAGATCTTTTTAAATCCATGCACATCCCCTGAAGACAACTATTTTCACTTTTTCACATTCCTTGCCCCACATACTATTCCATTTGATCTGTGCCTGGTCCAAAGCAGATATTCAATAAATTTGGATAATTTTGAGTGAGTGAGTGAGCAATTGTTAAAATAGGCATAGAAATAGCTTGAGTTCAAAGTCAGAGTTCATCATCAGCATGAGGGCATCCTGAGATGTGGGAGAAATGGAGGCACGGGGCAGCTGGTCATCAGTTACGAGAGGCAGCAAAGTCAGAGTCCAGAGGCACTGAGTGTTTGAAACAGCATCCAGGAAGTGAGTTCTGATGGAACGACCACTTGGCAGTGTACACAGATATTTTCATCAGCACATGAAGAAATCCCCCTCCCTTCCCAGTTGCATTGAAGAAAACATGGAAACCTTCATGAAACTAAAAGTATACTGTCCATGTAAATGCCATTAGGATTTATTGTCAGAGAAAATACAATTTAGACTAAGACAATTTTTTATGCTACTGAGGCCAATTAAATACCAGACCCTCTGCTCTGGCCTTTATAAAATAAAAGATCCCTGACTTAAGAGCCTGACCTTCAAGTGGCTTCAATCGAATACAGACAAAGAAAGGGGAAGAAGAAAGGCAGAAAGAATGCGGGCACCGATACTGTGTAGTCGTTCAAGAAAGTCTGTATGCAGGAGATATGAAAGAACCCCTTCGTAAAGCAACAGCTTTGGTGGGATTTAAGCAAGCAGACCAGTACTATTCAATGAGTTAGTTATTGAGGGAAGAGTGATGCCCAGGCACGCCTAAGGAAGCAGATGTGCTCATGAGCATGGCAGCCATACTGGCTCCATGGAGCCACACGACATCTACAGTTGCCATCAAACATCACACTTACACCGCTGAGCATTTTGCTGGCTTTCAAAGCATGGTCTAAAAACAAGTTTGGGAGATCTGAAACTGGATCATGCATAGTCTGAATGTCTTTCTTGTACTTCACCTATGAAAACAACATGGGACAAAATACCATCTAGGAGAAGAAAATATTATGTTTTTGCATTATGGCCATTATTATTTTTAACATATCATGAAGGACTATTTAGTGGTAAATTGTCAGACGAATTTGCAAGTCGCCACTAGATGGTGCTCATTTACTACTGAATGAGTGAAAAAAGTTATTTCTAGGGACTTGAAAATATTTTGATAATTTCTTTTATTTACATATTCAGAAAGGGTGACGTTAACAGAATCGAGTAATTTTAACAGAAATTCTGATTTCAAAAAATAAAGAGAAGAGCAACTTTACTCTTTAGAAATTACTACTGTATTTCAATTATGCTTTTTGGCGATTTTAGAGCTTTGGGTAGTTTTCATCATATTGCCACAGAGACCTTTTTTTTTTTTAACCAACTGCTTTGGAAATATAATATGAGTAATAATAATAATAAAATTTTAATAATAAAAAATATGAAGCACTTACTGTGTGCCAAACGCTTTTCTAAACACTTTTCTCTGTATTCAGTATTTAATCTCCACAACAACCCTAGTAGGTAGATACTCTACGTATCCCCATTTTGCAGATGAGGAAACTGAGGCACAGAAAGATGAAGATGTAATATTAAGAGGTGGAGCAGGATTCAAGTTCAGAGAATCTGATTCTAAACCTTGAGAGGTTTCAGCCCTATGCTCTAGGTTCCTTTAAGTATATTCCAAGTCTATTTGCTTTGCATTTTTACACATACAAAAATAATCAAATAAGAAAAAGAAATTATTCTGATATTGCCAGTGGTCCTGAAAGACAGAAAAATTCATTTCAATTGCTGGCCACAAACAAAAGTTTAACAATAACCATACCTTCTAAACATTAATGAAAGTCATATATACTGAGTCTCAAGGATATGACAGGAGTTGAAAGGTTGAAATGCTCTAACAAAGCGACAGGTCAACCGTATTAACCTTAACACTTGAAAAGGAACTTTCCACATGCTTCAACCATAGCAAAGCAATGGATCTTTTTCCATGTTTCTATTTTTATACTCTGCCTAATTCTAATAAAAATTTAAGGCATCTTGTAAATTGAAGCTTGATCATTTCTAAAAACATGAAATGAAAATGTACTTCACAGCATTGATATAAAGGATAAGAAAAAATCGTGGGGCTGGCTCGGTGGCACAGCGGTTAAGTTCGCATGTTCCGCTTCTCGGCGGCCCGGGGTTCACCAGTTTGGATCCCGGGTGCGGACATGGAGCCACTCGGCACGCTATGCTGTGGTAGGCGTCCCACATATAAAGTAGAGGAAGATGGGCATAGATGTTAGCTCAGGGCCAGTCTTCCTCAGCAAAAAGAGGAGGACTGGCAGTAGTTAGCTCAGGGTTAATCTTCCTCAGGGGGAAAAAAAAAAGAAATCATAAGCCATTACAAGGACAATTCCTGACAATTTCTTTATGATAAACTACCACGTACCAGGTAGTACTTTATAATAAGCCCAATTGCGTGGGCATAATTACATGAGTTAACTATTGTCATAACCACTAATTTATGATACTACACACTACATTTCTACAAATCTCTGTAATGTATTTCCACCCTTGATCAGATATAATAGTTTTATTAGCAATACTGTTCTTCCTTATTAACTAATTAGTAATCAGTAACCATTAATAGTAAATTACAATAATACATTTTTCTCAAAAAAGCTTCAGGAAAATATGCTTCAGTTGTTTTCAACTAAAATTACTTGTAAATTACATGATCTTGATTAAGTAGCAGTAATTACAACACAGCCGATTCTGAGAAAACAAGAATCAAAAGATACGGAAAATAATTTTCTATAAATTACAAGTCATGAAGCACAAAGTAACTTACATTACTCGCCAGTGCACTGGCAAGCTGACTTTGCCTAAAAGAAGCACTTTCAAGGGGATTGTAACAATGTTTCTTATCCTTCATTTCATTATCAAATTTTTCTTTGTATTTAATCTGCCATAAAAGAAAAAAACAGGATAAATTAAACAGCACATTTATTTTCAAGCTTTCAAAATAACACATTCAGTTTTTAATTAGATCAGATAAAAGCTACTTTAAAAACAAATGGCAGCAAAATTTAAATTCCTGGTATTTTTTCCCCCGTATAAAGCTTAATTAGGCATAAAAAAATTTTTTAATAAAAAAACAACCTCTACTTGAACATTGATCATAAATGCAATTAGGCATGAAGTCAAATCCTATTAACAAGAATTATGTGCTAAAATCTCAGGATTTTTAAATGTCAGTTTCCATTTCTGTGTTCCTATAATCTATGATCAATTAGAAATTAAGACCACAAATGAATTAAAGTCTACCACATTTAGAAAATGGATTCTCAGCCCCAAACTTGAATATGAATTTCCTTAAGGAATTATTCCAAATACAGGACATGGTTTGTACCACGGTTTTTCTCATCATTTCCCATTTCTTCAAACATTCATTTTTAGAGATTACATTTTCTGAAATGTCCCGGGTCTATTTAATGTCATTTTTTATGCCTCTGCTTTAACTCCACAGTTGTATTCAGCAGCAAAACTCTCTCTAATATTCACTCTGAATTATTTTTCTCTTTTTAAAGTAGTCTTAGGACAACCAAAAAAAGGATTATCAATTTATCCTGTAGAACTTTATTTTTCTCCATGGGTAGAGATAAATGTGAACATATGTTGTTAATTAATTGGAATATAGACACAAGTTCTTTACCCAAAAAACAACTAGCTATTCAAATTTCACACCCCTCTTTGATTCCTGTAACCAGGAAAGAATGCATAGACCTCAGAAGCAAAAGTGAGCTGTTTTGTTCTCTTATAACATTTTTATTATATTACAATTCTTACAATATTTTGTTTTCTTACTACATTCTCATAATGCATCTTTATTCGTACGTCTTAAAGTTCTGCACTGAAGAAGTTTTTATTAAAAAGATGTTTGGGGATGGCTCACATTATCTGTTTTAATCGAGTATGTATTGGGTGACGATCTCCCCAGGGACATGCGTCTGGTAACTATGGGAGAGAGCTAGTGAAAATCTTGGCGGAAATATAATATTTGGAAAATATTTCAAGATAGTGTACGGGAACTATTTTCTGCTGTGGTTCCATTTGATAATAACAACTTTCTGATATTCACATTGCTTTATAAATTCAAGGAAAATCTCATTTATCCTAAATAATTGGCGAGGCCTCTCTAAAACAAGCAAAACTCTGATTTTTAAAAAAATGATTTTATGTCTTGAAATCAGAGACGACATCACCAATGGGATAAATTTAGATGTCCTTCACTACTTTCTACAGGGACTGGCACCAAAGCAAGGGTTTCCTAACCCTGTCCTGCCCTAAACACAATTCCACCCCACTCTGCCCCCTCCACACCCCTCTGTTAGGGCATTTTTCATGATATTTTAATCTGTGCTTTTGTCTCTCTCTAGCTTTTTGGTGCCTAACGGGTATTCACTTGACACTGACAGTAGAGTCTCTTAACTGACTTCCACTTGAATGGCACTCCTGACTCAGCCAGATTCACCAACACTCTCCATTCACTGAGTAAAACGTTCTGACTGATGGCCACCGGGCCCTGAACACTCTCAGCTGGGAGCTACTTAACTATCAACTGATCCTGCTATGTAACATGGGCTTGCATCAAGCTTTCTTTCAATTGTTCCTATTCTCCAACCTCAGGCACCATGAGTCTCTTAGTTATATATTAGCCAAGTGGCAAAAATAGCTTCTATCACCTTGGAGCACGGAGAGCCCATCGTCCTATCTTGCTTACCCTGTAGCTCCCAGCACAATTTCACTAGGAGCAGAGGCAACATGTAGGGAGGTGACACTTGGAGATCAACCTGACACATTCTCATTTGTTATTAAACCCGGCATTTGCTCTTCCCAAAGAAATGTGTATTTCTGCAAAGCTATAATCAATTCACGTTGTAATGATTCCTTCCTTCTTCTACTCATTAAACACCAAGCCGGTGTTGAGTTCCTGCTATGAGGTAGGATGAGTTCCTATCTGAGGCTGGGAATGCTGACAGGACCAAGACACACTCCGTCAAGGCTGGAGTCAGTAATCTCTTCTGAAAGCAAATATGATTGAATCACAGTTCATGCTTAAAAGTGGTTTAAGAGTAAGTCCAGCCCTACTGCCCCCGTTAGGTGTGTTGTCAACTTGTCGAAAGTCAACTGAGTTTGCCCCTAATTCTGTTTATACTAACTATACTTATTATAATTACATAATTTAATATTGAGAACGCTGACAAATGTACTGTAAAAAGAGAGGAGTTATTTCTATGAAAATGATGTTTTTTCTATGATACAATGAAGGTAATTTTTCTAAAAATAAATTGTTATCAAATTAAGGGTAGTCAGGACAACAGAAAAGTTGTAGGGGGGAGAATGTAAATAATCTATAAGGTTCTAGAACTCAGATTATATAGATTACACATATCTTTAAGCAAAATGTCTTTCAAAATGTCAATCATAGACAATGCATTGTGAGTATGGTCTGCAAGAAAAACAACATAAAACTCCAAACCAAAGGCTCATTTGCAAAGAAAAAAACCTTGTCGCTACATCAAAAGGTTGGTGAATATCACATTGATTGATTTGCAGATACTGAACCCTCCCCCACATCCCTGGAGTAAATCCCACTTGACCCTGGTGACCGATCCTTGTAATGGGTTGTTATATTCGATTTGTTAATATTTTGTTGAGGATTTCTGCATCTACCCCCATCACTGATGTTGGCCTGTAATTAAATGTACACATATGTATTTGGTGCTAAAAAATGTTAAGGTATGTGTATGATTTTTATGATTCCTGCTTTAACCAGCTTTTTAATTTGACTGACTACAGGTCTGAATAAAAGGCTTCCACTATACATATATTATAATATATATTAATATATATATATGCACGTCCATATGAATATGTGTGTGTGTTTACGCACATGTGCCCACTAAGTCCCCATTCCTGAGTTAGGCAACATGACAGTAAAAAACAAACTCGATCAGATCCAGGTGTCACTGGTGGGGGTTAAGCACAAAGATAAACTCTGAATAGTGAGCTGGCTGCAACAACAAAGGGCATTGAGGCCACGGGAGCTGTTTTGTGGCTGACCATCTTCAAGTCTGGGGAACTAACACAATATTATTTAAGTTGAGACCCGAAGGGAGTGTGCTTAGTAAGGGGAAGAGGGAAGGAAGGGATGAGTGGCGGGGTGTTAATAAAAAGTATGCCCCCAGAGAGAAAAGCATGTGGAAGGCCAGAGAGGGGTGCACACAGCATATTCCAGGAATTTAAGAAATGAGGGTGGCCAGAGGATGGAGATTAAAGGAGAGACTGGAGAGCTGGGAACAGCCGGGTCCTGGTGAACCTTGCAGCTCCCTCAGGGATCTTGGTTTTCATTCTAAAGCCACTGAGAAGTCATCTTAAGTATGTCTGCAACTTCAGCAGATTTGCTCTTGGAAGAGATTACTGACTCCAGCCTTGACAGAGTGTGTCTTGGTCATGTCAGCATTCCCAGCTTCAGGTAGGAACTCATCCTACCTCATAGCAGGAACTCAACACAGGCTCAGTGTTTAATGAGTAGAGGAAGGAAGAGATCATTACAATGTCAATTGATTATAGCTTTGCAGAAATATGTCTTGCCTTGGGAAGAGCAAGCGCCAGGTTTAGTAACAGATGAGAATGTGTCAGGTTAATCTCCAAGTGTCACCTCCCTACATGTTGCCTCTGCTCCTAGTGAAATTGTGCTGGGAACTACAGGGTATGCAAAATAGGACGATGGGCTCTCCATGCTCAGAGGTGATATAACCTATTTTTGCCATTTAGCTAATACGTAACTAAGACACTCATGGTGCCTGAGATTGGAGAATATAAACAACGGGAAGAAAACTTGATGCAAGCTAGCATTGCACAGCTGCACTAATTGATTAAATTTAAATAGTTCAATACAAGCAGAACCCTGGATGTTTTCACCTGATGTTTTAAAAAACAAACTTATAGTAATACTAACCTATTATTAAAGGTAAGTTTCCCCTGGAAATACTAGATTAGACTATTTCCCAAGGTTTGAACATATTTGAATTATCTGTATATTTCTGCTCTCCCACAAGGAAGAGATTTCTATTCACTTTTGTATCCCTAAGTGTTTGGCATTGTGCTTAGACTGGATTCAGCACTTAATTTATGCTTATTAAAGAAATACAAAAATTAATGATGAAAACCATAAGCAAACAAATCTCTTTTGTGATTCACAGAATAAGTCCAACCCTGAGATAGGGTTTGAACTATAATATTTCTCTAATTCCCCAAGTCCACACACACACACACACACACACACACACGCCACAGTCACTGTTAAATTGATTTGAACTACACCCTTTCGGGAAGAAAAAAATGTAAAAGAAAATGAAAAACAATAGATATAATAATATTGTATTGCATCTGTATTGAACTTTATGGTTCCTGCTGGACTTTCATTCATTTAAGAAATATTTATTTAATGCATACTCTGCATCAGTCACTGTGCTGTAGAGTGCTGTACTGAAAAGATTTAGGAATCAGGTGGTAACTGTGTTCAAATATTTGAAAAAAAACAGAAAAATAGCATTTGTTCTGCTGCGAAAGGTCAAGTTAGTAACTGATGGGTGGAAGTTGTAGCCGACAAGATTTCTGCTTATTATAACGGAAATTTTCTCCCAGCTGAGCTGTCCACCAACAGAACCATCTTCTACTTTCCTGCTCAAACTACTGCCCCCTACCTCCTCAACTGAGTAATTTCCACAAATCCTACAGGTATTAGCCTAAATGTAACTTCTTCCAGAAAGCTCTTTCTGACCTTTCAAACTATAATATTTACTGCTGATGTATTTTTGAAGCACCCCAAATTCACCCAGTCCTAAGTGTGAATTTACTTATCACAGCTTGCTGTAATTTTTTGCAAAACTGTCTGTG